TACTTTACACATGTGTGGACATTGACTTCATGTTACTTTACACATGTGTAGGCATTGACTTCAAATTACTTAACACATATGCTTAGGCACTGACTTCATGTTACTTTACACATATGTGTAGGCACTGACTTCATGTTACTTTACACATGTGTAGGCACTGACTTCATCTTACTTTACACATGTGTAGGCACTGACTTCATCTTACTTTACATATGTGTAGGCACTGACTTCATGTTACTTTACACATATGTTAGCACTGACTTCATGTTACTTTACACATATGTGGGAATATTGTCGTCGTGTGAAAATTATGTATGTAAACAAACAAGTTTTTTGTTCAGAGGAACTGAAGTACGCTCATCGAAAATGTTTTAACGAGTGCACCAAAGTAGTGCATGGATATGACATAGGAGATATATATATACAGAAATGAGTACTTGCAGGGTCATATAGCAATATTGAGTTACACCATTTAACTTAACACAGGACTTATTTAGCTGACAATTTGTCTGTGAGCTCGCTTCTCGGAGTTAGACTGATGTTTTGTACATGCTTCAAATCTATGTCCCCAGATGAAAAGATCGGGAATATTGTTTTGTGCTGTCTGTTTGTCTGTTGTAAACTTGTACATAACTATTGCACCGTACGAGGTAGGGCATTCACATTTGGCATGTGTGCTCCTTGTGAAGAGACCTTTCTTGTGGCACCACAATGTTTGACCACGTGACCTTGATCATGACCTTCGACCTACATTTGCAATTAATTATATATATATATATTAGCACAATGAAGACATTTAATGTTTCACAAAGTGTTTATGCAATTGGCACATGCCCTACACATTTCAGTTTTAATGTCCCACTTCAGAATTTTGTTGCAACCAGGGAATAGTGTTTCATGAACACATCCTGATTCATAATACACTTTTCATGACATCGTCATTTTAATTTGTCAAATGCATGCCGGAAATACATTGTTACAATGTACCATAGCGATCTGTTGGGGTTCGTTTTCCTCCTGTGTAGTACCTCAGCCCGTGTGTAGATTAAGCAGCGTCTCTCGGGCAGGTCACCGAGTACATTTACATATATATATTGGTTGCGGTCACACAGAGTGGTGGGCAGTGGTCAAACCAAGCCATTTTATCAATAAGGTAAATATTGGAACACCACTGACTGACGTCAGAACCATTCTTTGTTTCCACAATCCGTTACATAATATAAGGTAATTTGAAGTTCTACCACCGATACCCATACTAGAGTATGTTTCTAAAAGGTGTGTCTCGAAACGGTGAGATTTATTAACCTAATCCTGGCCAGGTGGGATTAAAGCATATTGCGTAAAAACACTCTCAATTCTAAATCAAAATGTGTTGAATAACTATCATTTTCGTTTGTAGGATAATAAAAAAAATATAAACGAGGAAAAAATGCCTGTGTCATATTGTGTTCTTTTCCCTGTTTTGTCTACCCCGTCAATGTTTTGTGAAAATGTCCAGTTACACAAAACACCAAAATCATAATTTTTATTCATGTATCTGTTTTCCAGTTTATCCGCTTCCATATCCTATATTTGTAATAAAAACTGTTATGTTGATGTTGAAAATATGAATATTTTTATTTAGCTTAAGTATGGAAATTGGCTTACACAAAGTAGATTTTTAATTACACAAGACAAGACCTTATATTGTTTTTCGCTAACGTTTTTTTCAGTATGAATAACATCATTTAGTCCGTTTCATCCATTAAAACAAAATAAAGCTTTTAAACGCGTATTAGGGTCTGAATGCTTGCATGAATTTAGGCTGTGGAAATATTTTATTGCGAAATCCAGAGTTTTAAGAACATCTTGGAATTCTCGGCGATCTCGCGAGAGTTTACTTTGGATATGTCCATGGAGACAAATCTCGCCATATCTTGTAATGGCGCCGATATTCAGATGCGCTTGGTAGAGAAGATTTATAAAAAATAAATCATATTTTTTTATTCACGGGTATCACGTAATTGTGAATTATATAAAACATTACCTTACTGCCGATCCATGCACGATTTGCTAAAAAATCATCTTATCAACTGACTATCTACCGCAACATGTATATAGATAAGAAAGTAAGCAGAATGCGGACAGAATGTCAGAACCTGCTTCCGTCTTCTGTGTACAGCTGGTCACTAAACACCATTCATGACTCAACGACACTAACCACTACGCCATGACGGCAATATCAATGTACATAAGATGTTTCAAAGTTGCAGTGATGAACTGAATACATACAGTTGACGAAATCATAATAATAAATCGTATTGTAGATTGTGTGAATAGATTATTCTTGTGTCGCAATTCATGTAAATACTTGATATTCAAATCCTTGGATCTTAACATATGTCAGTGTATATCAGCTATCGTGTTTATAACTTCGTATTTTGGGATAGAACAAATTACTGAGGAAGTCAAAAGCTGTCTTCCTTAATATGTTTATTATATATGAACGTTACCTTCAAAAAGCGTTTGAATTTAATCTGTTGACCACAAATTTGAACTTTCAAATAGTGTAAATATTCAATCTAGAGATTGCTTTCTACACCTCTACCCACAAGTTCTCTTTGAAGATATTGACTCGAGAAAAAAGATGTTTTTCTTTTTTATTTATGACCTGACCACTTCCCACTTAGAAACCGCAGATTGAGTTTGTTTAGGAAATTTATCAACTTTATTACGGTTTTAAAAGCGATTTGTACTCTGTAAACGATCAGATCTTCATTCAGACTTTTCTTCCATAGCAACACCTAATATAAAGAGGTCACACCTTCCTGAAAATGACAGCATGTGTTCCAAAGACGATCTTATCGTCGATGAAGTTGTCAACTCTTTAAATACCACATTCTACGTCATACAAACCACCAAGCTGTTGGGTTTACGAAGTGGGTCAAGAACACGGGGTCATACAGATATATTTCACATTGTATAAAGATATCTGGTTTGTAAACTCGTCTTTTGTTCGCTTTAGTCAACTGTAAGAAATGCGGTTACGAATTTAGAGTTATATATCACCAGGAAGTTTTCAGAATTCTGTTAACGCCCATTGAAAATGTTTAGTGTATTGTAATTGACAAGAGTCGTAACTTACATTTCAAAAAAGGAAATGACGTCATGCATGCTCTTTAACTGCTTAGTCGTGCTTACAATCAATTAACGCTTATTAAATCTATCGAGGCAGTAGACCGCAGCCTTCCAGTCTCACTGAGCGCCATATTGTCCCGTCTTCAATTAAAATTTTATATTGAAATGTAACTTGTTCTTTGTTGTTACAAGACGGTGTAATATACAGCGGCCGACTGAATTTCACGTGCGGACGACAACAGGTTAGCTTAAATATTATTTGTCAAATGATTTCAGAATGTCTTATTTTTTTAATACACTTTTATATAAAATGGCAAATTTTCAGTCGCAGTTCTTGTTACTTTCAATGTTTTTAATTTCACAGACCAGAGTAAGTGATATCGCTGAGGTTGTCAAACTCTCATAACATAGATATCGTAGATGTGTTTTTAATTCTCGGTATTACCTTTTCATTTTAGTTTACGATGATAATGTCAACAATTTGCCTTTGGCAGCTATTACGTTTGATCGAGTCTTGACCACAGTTGAGAATAAAGTGGGGTGACCACATGCTTTGTGTATTCTGTATCTGTTATACAGTCTAATATCACTTCAACTTTCTACATTACAAAACAAATGTTGAAGGACGCAATAGCTACATAATGCTGAATTCTTTATGTTTTTGTTCTGTATTTGATATTCAATTTGAAGTGAAATGTGTTTTTCACGTGTGTGATGTTTGTTCAATCCAAGTAGTGGGTCAAAATAATGAATTTTATTCTGTACAGATTGATAAGGTGAACCCCGGCAGTCGTAGCATGAGGTGAATTTTATTGACTTTGTCTATTTTATGGTGTCAAATTATCTCCAGTCAGGTGCGAACTGGTCAAATCTACCTGTACCCAATGCACTCAACGGTCAGAACACAGGTGCCCGTACATACATGAGTCAGTTGGAATTACCCGCATCTCGTGACGTCTTCTATATCACGGGACCCATCAGTAGCCTATTGGGATAGCTAATTTGCATATGGTAATAGCATGTGGGTATATAAACGAATGTCGGACACCAAAACATTTAAAAGTCGTGGAAATAAAGGGACGTGTAGACTTAAACACTAAACACAACGGTTTTAAATTCAGTTTTCGGTAAGTACTGTCACTGAGTTGTATGTACAGGTATTTAAGTAAACGCTGGCGGTACCCTTTCGCATAAAAAGCAAAATTAGTTTAAATTACCTTTTAAAATTTACTATCAATGTTCTGCATATGCTGTTACTAATAATCTAATTCCTTTAGTGAACAAGACAAACAGATTTTGTAAATAACATTTAATATTCAGTTAATTCCAGTTTTTTTCTATTAAGACAATGTGGTCTAGTGCAGTACGATATAGAATTAACATCATAACTCACTATAAAAAAACTATTTTTTAAGAATATCTTTCACATCTCAATCAACATTAAAACTTAATTTTCGTACCCAAAGGATATGACATCTTTCTTGTTTTTTTTCCTTTTTCGTTTTGTTTTGTTTTTGGTTTGTTTTTTCTGTTTATTATTTTTCTCTTTCTTTTCTTTTTTGTTTTTGTTTTTATAAACTTAAGATATATCAAGACTTTTTTTAATTCAATCGTATGAAAAATAATGAATCATGAATGTTGGACAGGTGTATGAGTATCCTTAGGAAGTGTCAAAGGTTGAAAATTCACTTTCCAAACTGTTTGCTTAAATATTGTATGTGTATGTACACACAGAATATTTGATCCACAAGTCTATGATGAAAAAGAGAAGTTTTCGTTGCATTACAATACAAATAGCTGTAATAGTGTGGGATGTGGAGATTTTTACTTGTTTGTTTGTATGAAAATAAACTTAATTCCCCTCTTTTTTATATTCACAGACAATGGCGTTTTTCCTTAATGCCCTACGATCAAGATGGCGACATCGTTACAGCGTAGAGGACCTCTCCCCACAGGAACCTGTCCACACCGTATCTTGTATCTCATTGACGGATCTATCGGACAAGAAAGTCCGTCCAGTGTCCGTGTTTTCAGAACCAGGGTCTTTCGTCTTAGATAAGAAACCTAGGGGATCAAAACGTCCCCTGTCGTCTGCCTCACAACTCTCCTGGAACGTCGAGTCCGAGCTGAAGGCGGGAGGCAGCTCGCTGAGCATTTCAGATGGCGGTTATTCATCCATGAACGAGAGTTTGGAGTCTCTATCACGTACTGATAGCATACAGAACAGGTCTTTACGTATCTGGAGAAAGAGGCGGCCATGGTTGGTGAAGAAACATCAGTTGACAGGACAAGAAAGTGACAGTTCAATGTCGATGGACAAAGGCTCGTCAGAGAACATTCTAGAACGTGTCGAGGAGACATCAAATGAAAACGTTGTTGAGGAGAACAACTTGCCCAAAACCCGACCGCGATCTGTTCATTTCGATACATCACTGTCTGACTTGGATGACGATGACAAAGAAAATACAGAAACAAACAATGGATATATCGGGAGTGTATCACGACAGAGCAGTATCCGCCTTAAGTCATGGCAGATACGGCGCCAGAGACGTGCCTTGAAAAAGAAGAGCGAGCGATCTAATCGACGTTCTGGTCTGAAGCTCAACGAACTCTCACACGAACTCTCACACGAACTCTCACATGAACACCAGAACAATAACGAAACAAATCCATGTTCGAGTCCAGGGCTCAACGAACTCGCAAGTGAACGACAGTCGTGATAAAACCTCATCCAGCTTCATACCGATCCATGATAAGTTATCAAATTACTTTCTATTATATTTGTTTATATTGATGTTCATAAATATCACAAAATTAATATTATTTACCAAGTAATCTAGTGATTAGTTTCAGATCTACATTGTTAACAAATTTTCTGTGATAGTGAATGGAATAATGATAAGTGGGTGTGGTGTGAGCGTGGGGCGTGGTATGTTTGTGTGGCATGTAAGTGTATGCTTGTGTGATGACAGTTATGTTTTCTTTTAAATACTTTTGTAGAAAATAAAATTCTGTGGTTCTGAACGTGTCGACTTGTGTTTATTTTGTGAACTATACACGGTACACTTACACTTTACACAGCGCGGGAAACTGTCACATCAACCAGATTGATAGCGTCCACATAACTTCGGACGAACGGAGCCATATTGTTTTAGTATTGTTTTTCTTGTCATTATATTTGAAACAAAGCTGCGCCATCAACAAGCAATGTACAGTACATCAAAATTAAGCCACTATGACCTTCCTCCCAAGTAAAATGTCACAATTACAGTAGCGTTTTTATTCGGACATAATTTTTGAAAGCCAATGATGTCATAATTAAACTTCAGTAAAACATAACTGCATCATCCATAGACGTTGTCCATTGGATATAGGTCACTGCGACTCTCACTTTAAGGTCAGAGGTCAAATAAGTGAAGTTTGTTTTGAAATTATTCAATTCTGAAATTCTTAATGTTAGATCTACAACTCCAAAGTATATGGTTTATGGGGAGCTAGGACGATATCCGTTAGATATAAAAGTTAAATTAAGAATGCTGGATTTCTGGAATCAATTGCTTATAAATGAAAATAAATTAAGCAATATTTTATACAGATTAATGTCAAAATTACACTGTAATGGACAAATGACATTTAAATGGCTTGATCACATCAAACAGATCTTTAATGATATTGGATACACGCGTGTGTTTGATAATGAATTCCAAATGAGTTCGAATTTTTATAAGACTGAAATTAAACAAAGTCTTCAGGATTTATTTTATGGAGTCGTCTTCAAAAGGTCAATACTGTTTGAACATTAAAACAAAATTTTATTTTGAAAGTTACTTAACAAAGTTATCTGATCAAAACAGAGTTTTGATAACTAAATTACGCACATCTAATATTAAATTCCTGATAGAAACTGGACGGTGGAGCAATATAACAAGGGACGAAAGGCCGTGTAGTTTATGTAAACAATATATCGGGGATGAATTTCATTATATATCTATGTGTAGAAACGAAGAAATTAGTAATATCAGATCAAATTACTTGGCCAATTACTTTATCCAAAATCCGAGTGTGTATAAATATGAGTGACTTTTGATTATAGGAAATGTTGAAATTTTGACAAATTTAGCATTACTTTTGAAGAAAATGTTACCTTTAGTTTGATAGTATTTCTTACACTTGTTCTATATAAAATATCTTTGGTACGTAGAGTTGTATGTGTACTATCCATCTTGTCATGTATTTGATTGTTAATACCTGTATGTCCTCATGTTACACATCTTCATGTGTCAGAGTGTATTAATAAAATCTGAAATCTGTTTAAGATGCCTTGGTAAAAGTGAAAACTTGGTCACTAATATGAATTTACATTGACTGATATTAGGATATTGTGACCTTCGTATAAATAGACATTCAATTTACATTACAATGCATATCACCATCAGGCATGATTCCGTGATTGCATTGAAATTAAGCCACCCTTACATCGGCTGAACGTTGTGGTTTCTAACGATGAAAGGTTACCAAATCATTCTTCTGATAAATATGAAGTTATGACATTATGAAGAAAAATCCAATCAAGTCATCCAATCACCCGTCAGTGTCATCGGGTCAAAGTTCAAGACCAAAGTATTTTTTTCTGAACCTTTCAAACAAAGTTAACGAAAATTCAATAGCAAGACATTATATTAAATATATTAATATTTCTATACGTCAAGATTATAGATCCACTACGGTTGTTTTTAAAAATCTCATTACCATACATGAAATATGTTCTTGACAGATAAGGAGAGACGATATGTTCTTCCTAATATAAAAGGTCTAACTTAATTACTAAAAATTGTCCTTCTGTCCTGTAAACATTTTATTTAATGATTTCAAGTTTCGTTTAAGCCACAAAAGCAAATTTTGGAGTTTAAACCAGAATTTTTGGCGCACTTTGGTAATCATTTTACAACAGCAGTGTGAATGCGCGACACTGGTAAGCGATTTAGTCTCGTTTACAATGCTGGCATCTTATCTTTTTATTGAAAATAAGTTGAATTAAAGTTAATAATATTAGGGAGAATCTGGTTGCAGACAGATTCATACACATACTCAGATAAAAGTCACCGAATTTATAACTCAATTCCATTAAAGAGTAAATAGAAAGTTGAAAAATATATTTCATATTTTTGTGAGAAAAGCATTTTTCCTTACTCCCCCCCCCCCCCGTTTTGTACACGAATCTTGACAAGTGGATACAAATATAAAAAAAAAATAATAAATGGTAAAAATAAGTGTAGAGGGGTTTCATGTGAATTCAGAAGTCAACGAAGCGAATGGAGAAAGTAAACCATGGCACAGAATGCGACGGACATTAACAATAGTGGTTTCTAAAGTGAACAGTGTAAGCTTATACTATCTGCATCGGCATTGATTAATCAATTGATAATCTATAAATATCCATGATTATTTATGTTCACATTAGGTTAATGGGCGGGATCATTTCTGCTTTCTATTATAACAAGACTCATAGTCCTAAGGGGTAATGATAGTCTCCAGTCCGAAGCCGAAGCAGACCGAGACCAGGAATGGTTATAAAAGGGAAATGCAGCTCACAATGCACACAGAAAGATTGTATCGGATACTAAGTTTCTTCGTCAGGTGCCTTACTACTTGAACTTCAGGTAGGTTTTCACTTCAAAACATTATGTGGTGTATTTGTGTTTCAAAATAGCAAAAACTCAGTAGTGATTGTAGCATTAAGACCACTGATTGTGCATATGTAATATTAACTTTGACGTGTAGTTTAGTTGACATGATTATGTGGTAACAATGGGTCGAGATGACCAAGAATCCGTATTTTCTGCTTTGTCCTTTATCATGTGCCGTCTATAGATTAAACCTGAAGGCCTAGGATTCTATGTTGCATTTGGCAAGCTAGATTAAGTTCTGCCAGGTTTCTTTTTTCAAATAATTGACCTTGACCCAATTTCAAGGTCACACAAGTCGAATGAATTCTCTGAAAACAGACATTTAGGGTTCTGATATTTAACTGTAGCATGTTGTTATGAAGCTTAGCCAAGTTTGTTCAAATGGTGGACGTTGGCCCTCTATCAATGTCACAGTAGCAGATATTTGTGCTGCTTTATGAGAAAAGTTGTCAAATGACCATGTGGAGCAATAAGTCACTTGCTCTAAAATCAGAGTGCAGATCTACAATTTATGAAGCACACTCTTCAAATGAGATTTGCAATCATATATTTTTGTGTTGCCTGCAAAAGTCGACATATAGGTATGGTGATGTCGGCGTCTGCACTAAGGTTTTTTCATGATAACTTGAGTTCCCTTTGGCCGATCAACTTCAAACTCTTTACAGTGATTCCTCACCAAAAGTGCCTGCTTGGGATTGCTTTTCAGGTTCAAGGGTCAAGGTCAATGCTAGTATAAAAAGATTTAGACACTTTTCTATGAAATTCTTGTTTATGTACATCTATTGTACGAATTTTTTACCAGAAGTCATGATTTCTAATTTGCACACATTTTTTTTCACTCCTCAGGAGTACTTCAGAGCTTGGAAAATTTTCATCATCTTGTTTTGATGTATTGTGCCAAGCGATACTCGTATGTGCCACCTGTCTATCATGCAAGGATCCTTATGGCTGCTCTGGACTATAATAAAAATGTGGACAGAGACATAAAAAGAAATAAAGACGGCACAAAAAAGAAGTAAAGACGGCACAATAAGGTATCTTCTGATTTGATTTGCAGCTGTAGAACCTTGTGCCATATGAAATTGAGCAAAATTTTACAATATTTAGAACAATGAGCCGTGTAATGCTATACATGCTATAAGATCTGGCAATCGGCAAGGACTCGGATCAGTATTGCACCAGCACTTCTGGAAAATAAATTGATGTAGAATATAAAATACACGTTAATAAATTACATTGTGACATATGATTTTCTTGAACAAGTACAGATTACATAGCATGGTAATACACATCAAAGTATTTAACTCAGTGTAGAGAAATGTACATGTTCACTGGGTTATGTCATAGTAGCTGCATTTTAGACTGACGTACTAGAACAATAGAAAAATACAGTTCATCTCTGAACTTCTTGATTTAACATTACCAACTAACGGTATCACAATCTGTTTGCATATACCAGGGAAATTTCAACAAAAAGTCTGGCAGGTGGGCTGTACATGCCGTCAAGGAAGAGAAGTCGTACACTCATGTTGAAGGACTTTTAGAATCTGTAGTGGAGAACCGTTTGGCAGATCGAGTTGGGATGAAGGGAAGACCAACTATGGCACCAAAGGACCCCAGACAGGTTGCGAAGACCATTGCTCCAGTACCACCTCCCCCAACGTCTGAGCTCGTAAAGCAACAAAACAGTAGACTGAAGTAAATCTTATCTTGGCCTGTTTCATAACCCGGATTTGTGATATGATATAGTGGGATGTTCAGAAGACGTTTTTGATAAAAAAATGAACATTGAATTTTTTGAAAAACAGAATTATTAATAGTGTTCATGAACAGTTTTAAAATATGTTGATTTGTTGTTTAATTTGGCACAGTTCTGACCTCAGTATTCTAGTTATATTGATTTTGTGACTTAGTTTGGCTGATTCCTGAAGGACAAATGAATCTATACTGTGCTGTGGCATCCATCTGTCTGTGTCAGTTTTGAGATCTTTATTCATCTTCAATAACACAAAGATACTTGATTCAAGTCTTTTTGCACATAACATGCTGTAATAGAGTCATTTCATGTTTGTTACCAAAAAGAAATGACCTTCAATTGCTTTTTATATGATTTAGGTCAAATTGTCTAAATTTCCAAGTAACATTTTGACCCATGATGATTGTTTCTGTGGCATAGTGGGATGCTATCAAATTTGAGCCAATATATATATATACTTTTTTTTTACACAAATATTTTATTAGTCTATCGATAATTGAGACTGCCAGGGTTGGGGCCCTGGGATCAGTCCCTTACAAATAATGCCCTCTCCACAGAAGGTTCTCGCATACACCATTCATACGCACAAATATAAATATTTACATAGTCTAGTTTACCAGTTTTTTTTGTTTTGTCTTTTTTCAAATATCTCTTTTCACAACTTCTTCACACCACTTTCAAACTGTTCATTGTATAGTTTTGTTTTACACAAATTAATCAAAACTTTCACACACCTTTCACACATAAAACACACTAAATATCTTGCAATAAGAAACAAGGACCTTTGGACTGATGGAGGCCATTAGAGGGAAGGTTGGGGTTTCTATTTCTTTTGATTAAAGGAGACTTTTAAGAGACATAAATCCATTTTATTGCCTAAATGATGACACTTCAAACAAAAAACTGAAGAATTTTGATAGATTTAAATAAAAATAAATTATCTCAAGGAAGACCTGGAAAAATTCCTCATTTTCGCTCAAAATCCCCCATAGTGTTGTTCTTTGAGGCAATAAATTTTTCAACAGTCATTACTTTTTTGAAAATAGATTTAAATGCCAAAAAGTTTGGTATTAAATGATTAACTTGACTGTAGTATATGTGATGTTTTGTGAGGAGGAGAAATTGGTTTAAAAGCTTACTGAACCGTTGATTGCCAAACCAGATGTCAATTTCCTCTAAAATAATATTGGTCAATTGGATCAGTGTGAATACCAGTGGTAAAGCTCCTCAAAAATTTGCACTGAATCAAAACATTTAGAAAAGATGTGTTCCAGAAAGTACATTTGTTATTGGGAACAATCTGCATTTTGTACAATAAATCATTGGTTGGTAGGATCCTGTGACATATATCTTATACTGAAATATTTGTAATTTTGTCTCCTGTGTATAATTGAATATATTTTTGTATAAAATACTCCAATCCATACGGATTGCCATTTCTCTTAATTTCTTTTAATTGGTGTTTGAACATATTTGGCAGTAAACATGGAATATAAAAAAAATTTGGAATTGGTTTTTGATAACATAATTGAAAGTATTTCTTTTCTTTTTAATAACCTAAAATTTATTCCATTAAGAAGTTCTTCCCTATATTCTTGTTTCCATTTTCTATCTACTTTTCTGATTAGTGCATAATATTTTAAATAGTGTAACCCAGGTATTTCTTGGAATTCAATAATTTTTTTAACATTGCCGTGATTATCAAAAATATCAGATATAGTCTTTAATCCATGTTGTTTCCATTGTGTGAAATGTCTAAGAGATTCAAATGTTGACAGATTTAAGATACTTTCCCCAAGATACTCATTAAAGTTTTTGGTTCTGACTATAATTCTGCTAGAGCCTTAATTACATCTTTCCAAAGACAGTTTTTTACATGTCATGCTAATTCTACTACGCACTATCAAGATCAAACAAAATATCAGGGTTAACTGGAAGAATGTTTTGTATTGATTTCCAAGAAGCACTACACTCGTTATAAATTTTTTTTATCCATTTTATTTTTAAATATACATTAAATGAGTAGATATGCGTTCCACTAAGACCACCTTCTTTTTTATAAATTTTCTTTATCTTCTCTGTCTTTTATTTTTAAAAAAGTATACATGTTTTGGTGAAATTGTTAAATGACAAACACAAACAAATCACTGTGATTCTACCAACCAATGAGATATCTCTGTTGTTCCAAAATCTAAGTAATTGACATACAAGATAAAATTGACAGAAAATCAGTGAATAGAATACAGAAATGTGTTAATGGCCTTACTATATTAAAAAGAGAATTTAAATTATTTGACATGTGGAGATTAAAAAATCCTACAAAAAACAATTTACTTGGAGAAGAAAACAGAGAAGCAAGTAGAATTGACTAGTTTTTGATATCAAGGGAAATAACTCCGAAATTGATTAAAACAGATATCCGTCCTGCTATAATAAAATCAACTGACCATCTTGCAAAATACAAATTAAAGAAGAATCAATATCCTTTTGTAAAAAATAAGCCAAAAATACAAAAAGGAAATACTGAGGACACTAAAGATATCAAAGAAGGAATATACGGAGGACAAAATCATAGAAATGATGGAGTTTCTGGTTATTTTGTAAAATAATGTCTATGTAATACTTCTTAATATTCATATTTAATACTTCATTTGCTTGAAAAAAGAAAGTATATGCTTTATAGTTCGTGCGCTCAAGAGGGTCACAAGAAGATATGGTTCGGTAGGAACGTTATATTCCTTGCGGATAGTAATATTTGATCGAAGATAATTACTTCCGGTTACTTGAACTTCAGTGTGCACAAGCTGATAAGCCCCAGATCACGGTTTTATCTCGGTGGCAACACGATAGAAGCAAGCTGTGCTAATATTTCTGCCGTATAGAAGCTTGTTTTGTTCAGTGTAGACATGTCATGTCTCACAGAATCTTAATCAAACACTTTCCCACATTTGGGACATGCCGAAGTTTGATTCGTTGCCAGCCCTTGTTGACAATGAACCAAGCAAGAGGTGGTGTATCGAGCACAGTTGATAGATCAACTGAGGCAGGGGACCAGGTGGATAAAGAGGAGAGTGACATGCCTTTCATTGTAGGACACGACAAAAAGAAAAAATGTTTCTACATTAACATAGAACAGGGTAAATATCATCACGATCATATCTGATGATACTTTCTGGATCAACCAACAGGTATTAGCCTCTTCATGTATTATATCCAATATGATTTATAATCGAGGTCATTGACTACATCGGCCAAGTGAATGACCTAATTCAAGAAAACATGTCTTGGTTATATAATGAATGGATTGACAATCGCTTTTTATTATTACTTTTTAAAATTTTGATTGTAAATTGTTAAGTATATATCTTATAAAAATAAGAGAGTATTACGACGAGAAAAATAGTGATACACTTATTTCTATTCATCTGTATATACATGTATTTCTCAAGTTATAGTCAGAATTACAAACACTTAAAGATTGACAGATGAGGCAAGCACCTGTTGGTTACATAAGTAACTTAAGAATCACAATAGACTGTAATGAACAGGAGTCTGACATCTATCAATAAGATTTAATAATCCTAACAGAAATACCTCTTCTACATTTTATTGCAGTAAATGTGGTAATTTTAATGGGATTATTACACATCCTTATTGATAAGAGTCTGTTTCTTTTGCTTAAAGTTATAATTGAACAAAATGCAACTGAATTATCTGTAGAATAGTCAATATAAGTTACATTCCTTAGAATGTCTTATTCTGTTGTTGTTTTCATTTGGGGATGCAATTTGATTCTAGAAACCAATGGTTCATCAGGAGTGATGCACATGAAATAGCATCTTCAATTGCAGATCATCTGCCTACGTGTACATCTTTCAAAACAAGCCTTGTTCTGTAATTGATATGGTGTTTTAAAGTCAGGAAGTCATCAAAGCCCCCTGCACTACTCTCCTTTACTGTTATCAAATCATATTTACCACTGATGGTGACCTCCATTCATTTGTAGGAAGTTGACAGTATAGGTTGTCTTTGTAACATTGGCTAGTGTGAATATCATCATAGTCAAGTAGAAGAGAGAGTGTCTAGCTGGAGACTGAAAGGTTGCTAGTTTGAACATTAACTAGGACTGGGTTTTTTCATTACTCTTTCCTTTTAAAGATTTAGTGTGTGTCTGTAGTTAATGTTACACCACAGACCCTGGTGTCTGGTATATATTAAAAAATCTCAAGTGAACTCCATTATACATCCTACATTGAAGGTAAACACTTTTCATTCAATATCTTCTGAACTGGGAGTAAGTAGATTTCTGCAAAAAGAAATTAAGGTAAAGTGAAATAAAGCATTTAAGATAGAAACCAATAATTTTCGGCCATTGATCAAAGAAAAGGGTTGAAGTTCAACATAGGTAGTTACTGATATTTATCAAGTAAGAATGTAATGTTATTATGAAAATATTTTATCTCCAAAAAGACAAACATGTTGATTCCAACATGCTTTGCATAATTTTTCATACCAATCCAAGTTGATGAGCCAGGACTTGACATGATGGGATAATGATCAGATGTAATTAAATATCTAATTGTTTTATTTCATCTGATGTGATGATCGATTGTTATTTTTCATACCAGGTAATTGATCATTGGTATCTTGATAATTTCCTGTGATTTAGCAAAAATAAAATTTATATCATGTGTAATATTGATGCCTATTGGCATTAAGATCCATTCTTGTGTAAATTCTAGGTGAGTGAGGTGTTTCAGGTTTAAGTTACTGGAGAGAAAATATTACTGCCCAAGAGGATACATTTATTTTCTATAAATATATTGAACACACATGGAAAAACCTATCCAATTTTAACTGATTTCCCATCACTTTAAAAAACTAATCATGCCATATCAAAATTAATATCAATGAATTACCATCTGAAACCTGAAAAGAGGAAGCTAAAGATTTAGAAAAGATTATTCTGGTTTATTTGTCTATTCTTTTTAACACAGACGGGAAGAGAAGAAATGAGTCGGCTATTTTGGAGTATGAATGGATTCGACCTGGTTTTGTAGATCTTTATCATACGGAGGTTCCTCCTGTCTACAGAGGACAGGGTATTGCAAAAATTCTAGCAAAGGTAACATATTTTATAGTTCATACATAGATACTAATTAAACTATCACATTATGAACTCGCTAAATCTGGCTGTCCATATCACCCTTCCCTACTTTGTATGTAGTCCATTGTCAGTCTTCTCTCCTTAATCTTATGGTTCCTGTTTCTTGAGAAGCACTTGATGGATCATTATAAAACTTGAAATGTAGGTTTCCCTTTGTCCTTAGTTATATATGTTAATTTTAGGGTTGATCATTAAAGGCTGATTAACAGCCATCTTGGATTTTAACAATTGAAGTTTTTTTTTTTATCTTATTTCTTAAGAAGTATTGAATAGGTGAGTCTTAAATTTCATGTGTAGATTCCCCTTGGTCCCTAATTGTGCATGAAGTAAATGGCAAACAAAAGTGGCTCTTATAATATTGAATAAACAGTTTTCTCCAAATCATATTTCAACACCATCCTGTGCTGTTGAACTTCAGATGGAAGTTCTTATGTAAATATATTAAAACTGAAATCAAATTAAACCTTTAAACATTGAAATATGTTATTTGCGAATGAAGTCTACTGTATTTAAAAGTGATGTAAATACCCATCCATAATCAAAGCAGTACTCTAAGTATTTACCTTTATTCCATTTTTCTGTACAGGCAGCCCTAGAACACTTTGTAGCAGAGGATGCCAAGATGAAACTGAGTTGTACCTATCTACACAAGTATGTCCAGGAGACGCGACTACCCCGAGTGTGGGACCATGTCTGTTGGGATGAATGACGGCTGTGTTCTCTAATTTAACCAAACATGTTCACCAACTGAACCTCATAGGTTTACTTACACTTTCTAGTCACACGTTATACCAAAGCTTCATCAACACACTCTACAGAAACACATAGTAATATGCAAAATATATGCAATTTAGTCATACATCATACATTCACTATACTTTACCAAAAAGCTTTACCAACACATTCTCACAAACATAGGATCCAAGTAAGCCAAGTTATATTAGAAATACCCAATGTGCTATCAGCTTGTGTGATTGATTAAATATGCGTGTTGTTGTTAAGAAATGTGATCAATTGATTTGTTTTCTTATTTAACTAGATAACATTTACATGTCAATTTTACGTTGAAGTAATTACCAGTATCTATATTTTTCTGACTACAGGTATTTTTATTTTTTAAGATATCTGGATGGTTATGAATAAATACAACAACAAATAGGTGTGTATCGAGTTCTCATTGAAATCATTCAACCATGTAACAGCTGGAACACTGAGTGCAGTACTGATGTGACATTACATCGGATGACCTATTGTCCTGTGTTTCATCTGTCATTGTTCTCCATGGGTTGTCCACTGAACACATAATAAACTTCTCAAGTTTCACTGAAGGAATTCAGTTCAAACTTGCATGGTGTGATCCTAAGATAATCCTGAACAAGGTTTGCTATTTTAGGTTTTTCAAAATCTTTCACAGTCACCCATCATAACCCCCTTGTGTCATGTGAAAAACCTAGTTTAAACTTCTCTAGATCCAATGGCGTCATTGAGCAAAACTTTTTGAGGGATATTAGGGATAGAACTTTGATTTTTCTGCCATTTCAAAAATTTGATATTGTAATCATGTCACTCATTTTCTATTAACATAATCGCAAAATAGTTGTTTTCCTGAACAACACTTAGGGTTTAGTTGAAACTTTCAAGAATTGGTCATGAGATGGTCATGACCAAATGTTGTTTTGGGTAAGTTTAAAAATCCAAAATGACCTCCATTGCCGTCAAAACACTATTTCAAACTTCTCCAGCATAAAAAATTACCAACAGAATGTGAAATATATGCATAGATTGCACTTTAAGTGGACCTATGCCCGAAGTAAGAAGGTCCAATGACTAGCATAGCTGATAAGATCCCAGACAACATTTTCTTTTATGTAGGTCAGGGGTCAAAATGTAGGTCAGAGTGACCTGCTTTTATACACGACTCGCGATCGTTGCCTCACAAATGTGAATTCATATCCAAATGTGAAGTTAGAGTGACTAATAATATAGGAGATAATGCCCGCACAATTAGTCATGATAGCGGAAGTATGGCACACTGAACCTCTTGTTCAGAGCTACAAGCCTTAGGTAAAAATGACTGCCTGTAGTTCTGTGACATGTCACGTGTTAAAGTGACCTCATCTGTTGAAATCACCTGATTCAAGAGTATGGCATAGACGAATGCACATCAGCTATAGGAGAATCGGGTGTATGATGGAGATTTTCAAAATAACATTATTTCGAGGAAACTGGTTTTAACTATTTAGGTCGCTGAATAGTGCAATGGTAGTGACTATGGTAAAGCACACGCTTTTCACTAACCTGCCCGACCACTGAGTACTCTGGGTTTCCTCCCAAAATATCTCCCCCTCGTCCGCCGATTGCATTCGCGCCAACTAAATTGATAACTATCAGATATAACTGGTTCCATGTAATTGTGAAACAAGAGGATACGTTTGCAAAAAAAAAAAAAAAAAAAATCCACGGCACTATAAATTTTGTTTTGGTCATAGAACAATTTGCAAGAAAATATCAATTTAGTACTTTAATTTTAAATACGGATTAGATTGCATTTGGCTTTACATGAACAGTTTTAAACAACTAAGATTTTCTAAAAAAAAATCTTAAGTATTTGTTATGATTTTTTTTAATCGTTAGTGTTTTTTATGATTGTTTGACTTCCCTCGGTTCAATGGCTGATGACTCATGATACAGAAGTGGAGCACTTTTTGACACAAATAACCTCGTAATGAGGATATGAGTCGGCCATTGTCACAATGCCTCGCGGTAATTTATGTACTACAACTGGAAGAATCACTGAGATGGAAAACCAGTGTAGTAAACTGACAGCTTTTCTACGGTGTTACTTCTAAAAAGTAATTTTATTTTTAAATTTATCAATTCTTTCCAGGCGGCGACATTTCGCTTTAAAATTTCGATCGTTGCTCAAAATTATTAGTCCGGGTTTAATCAAACTTTGTATAAGTGAGATCACACAATGGACACAATACATACATCATTTACAAAATAGCTTCTAGATTTTACAGTAAAGTAAATTACAGATGATAAGAAACTGGACATACAGTTTTACGTTTGAGCTAAGTTTCCAGTACTACTTTTATACATATTGGACGTGTTTGATGCTCGTTACTTTTGAAGATTTTCAACTAAATTCAAATTTATGTCGCATAATATATGACTGATTCAATATTTACAAGTTACTTCAGTTCTTAAAATACTCTTGTTTATTTGGAAAATTACCGTTTTATCAAAAATAACGAAGAATACTTGTTAATCACGTGAAAATATTACTTCAAACACAAACTAGACGAAACTTACAGAAGAAAGATTTACAAGGAGGTTATTGAAAAAGGACTTTGTAAAACGAGGATAAACAAACATGGAGAAGCCATTAAAGACGCGAAGTCATTTAGTGATCATAAATTGAAATGCAGATTTGGATTAGAGTCTTACACCAATATTATATAAGACGTATTAGCAATCCCTATATTTCAACACATGAACTCATCATAGAGGCGGGTCATTACTAATATGTTCCCGACTTTAAAGATTGATGTAATGATACAAATGTAATTGTGTTGAGGAGAAAATCCATTCTTTATTCATATGAAAGAAATTTAAAATTGTATAAGTGCCCAAACTTCTTAGCCCTAAATCAACAGCAGAAGAAATATGCACAGTTGATGAATAATAAAAACTGCAATATTTCAAACTCACTGGCTTTAATATATTCATCAATTAAATTCAAATCTTGTTCATTCGGTAAAATTGTACAACAGCATGATACACCTGTGATCACAACATGTTTAGCATTTTTTTTTATTGAATTGATTGCAGTTTAAAATATATCACACTTTTGTAAAATTCATATCGTCAACAATTAATTATTAGTTATCACACGTATCATATAGCAAGTCAGGGACACGTAATGCAAAAGTCAGATGTATAGTTTTTTCTCCGAATGCGTCTCAGTCAAAATCGGTTCCCCAGTGGAAAGTAAGATCAAGGTCTTTCTTGGTAATCCTTCTAACATTTCGTATTTTATAATTTCAAATTATCCAATCTTATCCTGCCCCTTTTCACAAGGACGTTTAATAGGTATATATCATACGTTCCGAGCTGATATGTAATTTAAGGAAAATGTTAAGTAAAAAAAGTATATCATTATAACTTAATTTAGATAAATATCGTGATTGTTTCACTCAGTGTGATGTCGAGTAGAATTTAAGAGTAATAATGTGAATGTGTTTGTAAAAATATGTCTCACCAGGGACGTGTAATGCAGTATTATACGTCCCTGGTCTCACTGATATATCCATCCTCGTCTCTTTTGTGTATGTTCCTTTGTTGCCCAACGTGCTCTGTGGCAAAATTCGTTTATAAAGAAATAGTATTGTTGTTTTTATCACGCTTATACATAATAGGTAGTTTAATGAATGCTATCATTTAATATCAATAGCTCTTTTGAGCTTTTTTAGACGTAAATTATATTTTTTTATTTTCAAGTTTAGTTTTGACGTAATCCCCGGAAGCTTCACTTACAACCAATCAGATTTTGGCTTTCATCGCCGCTACAAACTTAGCGCGCAATTTGACCGCCATTGCTGTTTGTTTACCTATTCGCATAGTGGGCTAAGGAATTTTTCTGCGACTGAACATGCCTTTAGTCATATGAACATGCACTCATAGTTTGGTTATGGAAGTACCGATGAATTGTGTTTTTGGTGATCGGTATGTCTAATCTGCCGGAAGACCGGTGAGTAATGGACTGTATAAAAATTTTCACAATGTCCTTTGTTTTTGATTTGGAATGCCTATCTGACGTAAAACAATCCGAATAATTAAGTAACCAAATGATTTATCTGAAGTAAAAAGTTGAAATCGACATACAAGAACGTCTACATTTTTATTCAGTGCCAAGTTATGCCAAGTGATGTACCGGTGCAATGTAGATTTAGTAGCGGCGATAGTAGTCTTTCATCAGCTGATCATTGTCTTATAGCATAGACAACATTGGAAACTGTCTTCACGTTGGCTCATTTTTGCACGTGAAACTTTTCTCGATCACCAGGCGATGGCGTTTCACGTGCGCGTGCGGAGCATCACTCCAAGAACTGTCTGACACCTTTATTTTTCGTGCGTTTAACTTCATAATGAAAAGTAATAGTATTAGAGTTCGAGGAATTACTTAAATTATTTGTTAACGCTGATTCCACCAAAATGACGTTTGTTTACAGCTACCGAGATAATACTTATCATAGGATTCTCAACGAAAGGTAATATAAATCCTGTCCCCAAAATACCAAAGAATTTGCCAAAGCATTTGTTTCATTTGACTTTTCACTATCCTAAATTTGTTGATATTTTCATGATTAAGTGAGATTCACAATTAACAGTGGGTTTAATATGCTACGCCCAGAAACCTGCCTTCCTGTTATGAATGGCTAGCATATAAGGGTTTGAGGAAGACAACTGGCTGTTGAATCAGAGTGGGTTTCTTTAGACCAGAGGCCTGTACATGTGCAAACTTAATTGATCTGGTTTGTCACATCAGACCTAGGCCTTTCCATTTGGACTTTCTAATATTAGGCATTTATGCATGTATATATGCCATCCTTTTCACTAAGTTGAACATAGGATGCAGTGAAATTTGTGTGAATCTCTACAATTATTTCTAATCAATCCTAGTAAGTTTTCATCACAACACACACCAAACATCACCAGTGAATGGGATATCTATAGGTGGTCTGAAGGGTTGTGACTATCTGCAGTTTTGTTTTTGTCTTGTCGTCCGTGTCCAAGATCATAATGAAATTGCCAATAGATAGTCAGAATCCTTTAGACTAATTTATAGAATGTACTGTTTCATGTAAATCCTATGCATATTTATTACCAATCCAACACTGCTTTCTTTTAGAAATATATGATTTTCTTCAAGGTTAATGAATGTTCTGCTGGCCATCAAATCCGAGCACAAGTGTGTACATGGAATGATGTGTTTAAAGCTGTCATTTTGATTGACTAGTTTATCATGTGATTGTCCCTTTTAACTCAGCCTTAATCTTTAGGGAATGTTAACCACATTTCTATTTTTCTGCTATGTTTGACATAAAGTTGTTTCATCCTTCTAGGATCCCTGACCCCATTCTAAAGGCCTGTGTTTAGAAACCTAGGAGGTTTCTTAGGAAAATAAAAATTGAACTTTATTTACAACCTGACATTTGTTTTGCTCAGAATGACAAAAATGTTAAACATTTAACATGCTGTTTTGCGAATGTGAGCTAAGTACCATTGCAAAGTGTAGCAAGTGTTGTAAATGTTACACTGAGCCAAGAGGATTAATTGTCACTTACCTTGTATACAACATTTTTCCAGAGCTGCAGCATTTAGCAGACAGTCTTTCAGTAGTGACGAGGATTCTGATGACGGAGAGCATATTGACCATGATTACAATGCTCAGGCCTTTGGATACCGCTTCATCAATAAAGGACGTTGGACAAAAGAGGAGGTGAGGATTTGACAATGTCAATTCTAACATTCTGGGAAAGAGTCTATTATTGTAGGGAAAATACAGTGTTTCCAGCAACTCTTTCTCATTGATGGATTTTTTAATGGATGTGGAAGAAATACATAGGGATCAGTTGGAAAGCCTTTTCATCGAACTGATAATTCACATAAATGAAGAAAATACAGTCAGTTGCATATGATGTGAAAACATGTCATCATACTTTTTGTACTGAAATTAAGAAAAAGATTTTGGCTTGAAAATGTTTCAGAGATTTGGAGGTGACCATGTAGTTATCAAAATGTCACTATCAAATTTTTTACTGGTTGTTATAAGAACTTTTATTTTACTGACATTACCAAACTGAAGAAAATGTTCTGAGAAAAAGGTATAAACATCTGTTTTTGACATTGTAAAAACATTGTATGAGGTTTGTCAGACAATATTTTTTTCATTGCAGGATGAAAAATTAAAAAAGGTTTTAGAATATTGTGGTACCCAAGACTGGAAACTTGTTGCTAAGTATTTTGTTGACCGCACTGATATACAGTGTCAGCACCGCTGGCACAAAGTTTTGAACCCTGCCCTTATTAAAGGCCCGTGGACAAAGGAGGTAAGTAGTGATTATCAAATCTGGCTTTGTGACCTATGTTTAAGTTTTATTTATGTGATAATGTTTTTGCTTTGAGTGCCAAGATAAAATACTGTATTGATTTATTTGTGGAAAACATTAAATGTTATGTAAGTGACACACAACTTTAGGGCCTATTGTTTCCAATTTCCTTGGAAAAAGATGTGACCTGTCATGAAACAATTATGACAGTTTCATTCATTGATTTTCTAATTTATTGAAGAAGTACTACTTATACAGTTTTTTTTTAGCCTGTTATAATTGATCTTTTCAAGAACAGATGTGACATTGTTTATCTTGATTATTACAGGAAGACGACAAAGTTTTGGAGCTTGTTCAAAAGTTTGGTCCAAAAAGATGGACACTTATTTCTAAACTCTTGAATGGTAGAACTGGAAAACAGTGTAGAGAAAGGTACAAATTGATAGCTTGACATCTTTCTTCCTGTCAGCTTTTTAGCTCCCCTGGCACAAATGACCAAGTGATCTTGTACTGTTGTGTCAAATCCATCGCCCATTTGACATCAACTTTTTCCTTAAATAAAATTTCAATAACAAGAGGCTAATAGTATACTTGGTTGATAGATTTCTGAGATGAAGCCCAACAAAAAAACATGATCTTGACCCATAATTAAAGTCCCAGAAATCAAATTGGTTCAAATGCTTCACACTCTTTTGATCAACGAACAGGTCTTTTAATATGATACTTGTCATGGTAGGTCACTAGATCGAAGCCTGACAAAGTTTGTGAAAACTTTTATTTTGTAAAACCAATTGAATGATACAGACACTGAGAATTTATCATGATTCTGTTAAACCATTGATGATATGTATACAGGCCCTGTGGTTTTATCGTGATTCTGTTATAATCAGGAGAATGATATGTATACAGGCCCTGTGGATTTATCATTATTCTGTTATAATCAGGAGAATGATACAAGACCTATGGGTATATGATTCTTTTACAACCATGAGAATGATACAGGCCCTGTGGATTTATCATTCTGTTATAATCAGGAGAATGATATGTATACAGGCCCTGTGGATTTATCATTATTCTGTTTTAATCAGGAGAATGATACAGGCCCTGTGGATTTATCATTATTCTGTTATAACCAGGAGAGTGATACAGCCCTGTGAGTATATGATTCTGTTATAACCAGGGGAGTGATACAGGCCCTGTGGATTTATCATTATTCTGTTATAACCAGGGGAGTGATACAGGCCCTGTGGAATTATCATTATTCTGTTTTAATCAGGAGAATGATATGTATACAGGCCCTGTGGGTATATGATTCTGTTATAATCAGGAGAATGATATGTATACAGGCCCTGTGGGTATATGATTCTGTTATAATCAGGAGAATGATATGTATACAGGCCCTGTGGGTATATGATTCTGTTATCATTATTCATTATTCTGTTATAATCAGGAGTATGATACAAGACCTATGGGTATATGATTCTGTTATAACCATGAGAATGATACAGGCCCTGTGGATTTATCATTATTCTGTTATAATCAGGAGAATGATATGTATACAGGCCCTGTGGATTTCTCATTATTCTGTTATAATCAGGAGTATGATACAAGACCTATGGGTATATGATTCTGTTATAACCATGAGAATGATACAGGCCCTGTGGATTTATCATTATTCTGTTTTAATCAGGAGAATGATATGTACACAGGCCCTGTGGGTATATGATTCTGTTATAATCAGGAGAATGATATGTATACAGGCCCTGTGGGTATATGATTCTGTTATAACCAGGGGAGTGATACAGGCCCTGTGGATTTATCATTATTCTGTTATAATCAGGAGTATGATACAAGACCTATGGGTATATGATTCTGTTATAACCAGGGGAGTGATACAGGCCCTGTGGATTTATCATTATTCTGTTTTAATCAGGAGAATGATATGTATACAGGCCCTGTGGGTATATGATTCTGTTATAATCAGGAGAATGATATGTATACAGGCCCTGTGGATTTATCATTATTCTGTTATAATCAGGAGTATGATACAAGACCTATGGGTATATGATTCTGTTATAACCAGGAGAGTGATACAGCCCTGTGGGTATATGATTCTGTTATAACCAGGAGAGTGATACAGGCCCTGTGGAATTATCATTATTCTGTTATAATCAGGAGAATGATATGTATACAGGCCCTGTGGGTATATGATTCTGTTATAACCAGGAGAGTGATACAGCCCTGTGGGTATATGATTCTGTTATAACCAGGAGAGTGATACAGGCCCTGTGGAATTATCATTATTCTGTTATAATCAGGAGAATGATATGTATACAGGCCCTGTGGGTATATGATTCTGTTATAACCAGGAGAGTGATACAGGCCATTGTGGTTTCTTGTTTTTCCCAGGTGGCACAATCATCTGAATCCAGATATAAAGAAGTGTGCATGGACAGAGGAGGAAGATCGCCTTATATATTCACTCCACAGACAGCTTGGAAACAGATGGGCAGAAATTGCTAAGTTTTTACCTGGAAGGTAATATATATTTTCATTCAAACTGGACTAGAAGGATTTTTATAATTATTCGTTGGGAAATGAAACATATATGATGAATCAATTATGGAGGACTTTCATACCTTTGTGTACGTTTGTTGCCAAAAAAAATTTTTTCAGTTATCCCCAGAAGTATTTTCAAAACAAATATTATGTTGGAAAACATTCTTAAGGTCAATAAGAAATTTATATTTAAATGAACAGTGACTTGTTTTCTTTACAGAACTGATAATGCAATCAAAAATCACTGGAATTCAACAATGAAGCGTAAATATGAAGATGAAAATTGCATGGACCAGCATGTTGGGATATATACACAGGCCTGTACACCTAGTACCTCGACTAATTACCAGTCAGTACAACCTGTTCAGCTGTTCCCAAACCTGGGTGTTTCCTCGGAAAATATCATCAAGACACCAGACAAGTGAGTCAAGTTTCTAAATAAAGCCACTGTCTCAAATGGTATAAATTTCAAAGATCAGATCAGGAAACAAGCTGAATTATTTGTTTTCGGGGCCTAAAAATCTGGCAAAGTGATCCACCAAGTCTGAATTCACAAATATGAAATATGTGCAGGGTTTTCCATAAGAGCCGGTCGCCGGCCAATTTGACTGGCTACTTTGATCATTTGGCCGCCTACACCAATCCAGTTCCGTAATAATGTTCCGTATACGTACACGACAGGCCAGCCTCCTACTTTCACTACACAGCCTACTACTAACAAAATTATGGAAAAACCTGATGTGATTTGTAGTGATAATTCATGGAAATTTAGTTGAAATCTACCCAAGATTCCCTGAGATATAATCAGGAGAAGTACCTAAGCAACCAGAAAACGTTGAAATTGTTGGTGATATTAACCAAATTACACTGTCAACTACCCCGTCAAAAAAGGTAGTCCATGAGCAAAATTTCTTCAAAATGTCATAAAAATGGTCCTTTTTAAGTACAACTCAAGATAACAAAGTGTATGACTACAATAGTTCAAGATATTATGTTGTAATTCATTCTATATGGAATATACTCTCTGGTATATGTAATACAGTCTTGTCTAATACAAGAATCTTTATAAATAACTCAATTTAATAAGCCTTTAGTACAAGAATCTTTATAAATAACTCGGTTTAATAAGCCTTTAGTACAAGAATCTTAATAAATAACTCAATTTAATAAGCCTTTAATACAAGAATCTTTATAAATAACTCAGTTTAATAAGCCTTTAGTACAAGAATCTTAATAAATAACTCAGTTTAATAAGCCTTTAGTACAAGAATCTTTATAAATAACTCAGTTTAATAAGCCTTTAGTACAAGAATCTTAATAAATAACTCAATTTAATAAGCCTTTAGTACAAGAATCATAATAAATAACTCAGTTTAATAAGCCTTTAGTACAAGAATCTTTATAAATAACTCAATTTAATAAGCCTTTAGTACAAGAATCTTTATAAATAACTCAATTTAATAAGCCTTTAGTACAAGAATCTTTATAAATAACTCAGTTTAATAAGCCTTTAGTACAAGAATCTTTATAAATAACTCAGTTTAATAAGCCTTTAGTACAAGAATCTTAATAAATAACTCAATTTAATAAGCCTTTAGTACAAGAATCATAATAAATAACTCAGTTTAATAAGCCTTTAGTACAAGAATCTTTATAAATAACTCAATTTAATAAGCCTTAGTACAAGAATCTTTATAAATAACTCAATTTAATAAGCCTTTAGTACAAGAATCTTTATAAATAACTCAATTTAATGAAACTTCAAACAATTGTCCCTAACATCAGTCCATAGCCCCAATTAAATGTGAAGGTCATAGATCAGAAGTGAAGGTTTGTAAACAGCTTAATATATTTAGTGCAAAAATCCAAATAAACTTTTGATCTCAAACTATTTTTTAGTGAGGCTCTTCATAACTTTTTCTAAAATAAAGACCTTTTTACAAATTAACTGTCAAGGCCATTTCTGTATATTTTTATATATGTTATGTATTTTCAGGAGTGATGAAGGAAAATTGACTGAATCTGGATCTGGGTTTAGTGGTCTTTCGTCACTTGACCTCTTTAGTGGAACTGGTTCTGCAACAGGGGTTACTCCCATCAAGTTTACCGCTTTAAATAGCAAAGGTAATCATGGTCTCTGAGTTTCTGTTATATTTGTAGTTGCTGTGCACAGCAGCTGTTGAGATGCCAAACCTTGAACTAAGAGAATACTTGTAAAAGTTTGTATTTTTCTGTTTTGAGACGCATAATCCACTGCTTCACTTTTTACTTGGCCCTGAAATCACACAGAAAATTAATGAGAACAAATGATTTTATTCCAATAAATAGATGTGTCTTTGTCATTGTTTGAGATTAGCAAATTTGTTTTTCCATAGGCTACAGATTTGATGGGAAGGCTATCCAACGCCTAAAGAGTCCTGGACATCTAATTCCTATCACTTCTCCAGTCACCTCTAAGTTCTCTCAGCCAGCCATCCTAAGGAAGGGCAAGAGGAAGGTACAGTCATTCTTTTGATGTTACCTTCATTTATTATTGGAGACTGTTTGACTGTTGTTTGTTAGACTTCATTCTACATCAGTTTTAATACCTTACCATCCATCTTTCCATTGTCAGCCATTCAACAATTGTAAAAAAAATTTTAACAAATGTTTAAAATGTTTAAAAATAATTTGGAAGAACTGTTTGGCGTAAATAGTTATAAATGGCTAGTAAGTTTGTGGAAAGATTTGCGTGATGAACTGACTTCAACTCATTTTCACAGTGGTCAAATATATGCTAAAAGTCTGCCTGCAATACCTCTTGATTTTTAAACAAAATGGTTTTATTTTCTATGATATTTTATGATTAATCACAACTTCAACAGATCTATCAAGTCGAAAGAAATGGGAACTTGATGACAATTGAAAGTCTTTTAAGTCCTATTTCATTTTGTTTTTTGATAACTTACAGAATTTGTAAGAATTTTATTGATTTGCCTGAAGGAGGGGTTTAGGGTTTATGTCAAACAAGTTGAGATTTTTTCATCAAATTTGTTGTATTGCTTTACATTGACATAGTTAGCAGACTTCAGAAATGTTAGAATATATTGTGTCTTTGTTTTAACATTAAATGACTTAAATTTTTACTTTAAAATTTGGAACAATGTATATTGCTTTATATTAGTGAGATCTGAATAAGTTTGTTGTTTGTAAAAATCTGTGAAAATTTGCCAGGGCTATAGGACATATTTTGTCTAAATGTGGCATAATCCTGAACAGAATTGTATGAGCTAATTTTTTTCATTTTACTTTTTTACTAGATGTGTGCACCAAAAAAAAGGGAAAAGGAAGAAAGTGCTAAGATTTCACGGACAAACTGGAAAGTCATGTCTAAGTGTGCTTCTTCAAAGGAGGAACCTGTTATCAACGATGACGTTAAAGAAAATGTTCATATTTATGCCCAGAATACAACTCCTTGTCGAAATCATGTATCTCCATATTCCTCTGATGATAAGGAAGAACATTCGACTCCTAAAGGAACACCAATAAAAAATTTGCCATTTTCTCCTTCACAAGTGAGTATTTGAAGAAGTGTGAAAAAAAGAAATGCTTGAAGAAAAATATGTAATAAGTATGTTATCTTCATACTCAGTTTAGTACTGGTTCTGCACATTGAGGAATTGGGTAGGATGGGGGAGTGGGGAGGAGGGGATATCATGTACAAAAAAAATCATGAACCCTCAGCTGATTTACCCAGGTAGTTCATGCTCACACTATCAAGTGATTTTGATGGTCAAAGTTAAAAGGTTAAAGGTTACACTTACTGCTTTTGAAATGAATCTGAAGATTTAGATTCTATGAGTCTGTGCTCACATGGTTAGGGGCTGACTTTGTTTTTGGCCTCAACAGAATTAGATATGTTTATTTTGTAACTTCACATTATCAGGTTTATACCTGATAAGATTATAGTAGTGATTGGTCAAGGTTAAAGGTAAAAGGTCACACTTGATAACTATGTGTCTGTTTGAACTCTTGACATTGCTTTTATTGGGAGGAAAAAGGGATTGGATTTTGTATACATTAGGTCAAGTTCTGATTGGTCAAGGTTACAGGTAAAAGGTCACACTTGATAACTATGTGTCTGTTTGAACTCTTGACATTGCTTTTATTGGGTAGGAAAAAGGGATTGGATTTTGTATACATTAGTCAAGTTCAACCAACTTTGTACGAAGGATTGGCCTGGGCCCAGAATTTCATACTTGTGGTACGGATTCACCTTAGTGAGGTAGTGTTATGTATTAAGCAAGAAATGCGGGGAAAACTCATTTTCCTCAAATATATTCCACAACTGGTAACACTTTTGGATAATCTGAACATCTGGCCGGGACTAAATGTTGGGCTGTATGTAATGTTACTTTGCCGGGATATGCACATGTTTCTTTTCAATTAAAGTTGCATATACATATATATATATGTAGTATACAAGTATCACTGTTTTGCCTCTTTACCAAAATATTTTTTCTCTATAAAGCTTTTTTTCCCTGAATTCAGTTGGGTGTGTGCAATGTACATGTTAATGCCGAAAGCGAACGGAATGGTTAATGAAATGTACAGAACGGAAATTGTTCAGTTAAATCTGAATCCGGACCAGTCAACTTGCTTCATTCAACCCTCCCAAAACCATCCAAATATTCGTGTCATGGTCAGGTTGGAGAAGTTTCACTGTATTCTTATTGGACATCTTGGAGTATGTGTTCGAGTTCACTTATTTCAACAAGTTTTTTTTTTTTTTTTCAAAATAACAGATCTTTGTTTGCATGTATGTGCAAAGGCTTATAAGTTTGAAGATGAAGAAACTGTGTAATTAAGTGCTCTTACTGGGCTTGATCTGGTTGGATGGTGTAGTGGTAGCACTCGCCTTTCACCTCGGGGTCCAGGGTTCGATTCCTAGTACAGATGTGAAAACGTATGACCACAGTGGGATATTGTAAGGCATTCGACAACATTCATGTATGTATACATTGTGCGAGTCATTAATTTTTTTTTACCAGATTCGGTTTTCTTGTCTACTTCAATAAATTGATTTTTGTTACAGTTTTTGAATAGTCCAGAAATTCCCTTTGGTAAAGTGACTTCAACACCTGTGTGTAGTCAGCTTCACCTGACTACACCAACCAATAATAGTGTTCTGGATACTCCAGAGATCAAACGTGATTCAAGGTAAGAAACTCTCATTGATTGAGTATTTAATATCTTATGCTCTAGTTGTAATCAGATATGGTGGAAACCTGTCTGAAGGAATACTGAGATTGTTCTGACCAAATGGGAGTCAATCCGATATTCCTTTCCTTAAGTTTTCTCAGATGCTTATTAGTCACAGATTACAGGTACTTCCTTACATAAACTGACACGTCTCGCCTTCCTTCACAGTACACAGCTAATATATCAACATTGAGCATTAGTATACATCAGAAGTCTGTTGTCTTATCTTTGAAAATCCAAAAGCTGTGTCCCAATTAGCAAGTTAATTTTGTCTATACCAACTTTTCAGTACTGAATGTAGATCAGAATTCTGGAATAAATCTTTTATCAATGCATGCCATCATCAAAAACTATATGAAAAGATAAAGTTATATGTTTTAATATTTGATATTTAGCACTTCAAAAGATTTCTACTGCACTCCAAAGATCCGCAGGTCTATTCTGAATGCAACTCCACAAACTCCCACTCCATTTAAGACAGCTTTGGCTGAAATGGAAAAGAAAGCCAGAACCTTCAAGGATATTGTGAGTACTCATCCAGTGTTAAACTCCGAAGAGTGAGCTTTTTTACTGAAATGTCATGTGGTCCAAATTTATATGCCTTTCAAACATTCTGACTGCTCATTTTCAAACTTGGCAGATTATGGGCTCTTAGAATCACCTTTAATCTGTGGTCTGTCCATAATCAGATACCCAGAATTACTGATTTCATCTTTTTCATATTTCATATGTGGGTTCACTTTTGTCCCAGGTTGTACCAGGTGCTCCATATGGAATCTGATCAGAAAAACAAAATACTAGGCACATTGTAGTCACTTTAACATATGCTTGTATTAAATGTAAACTGTTAGAAAGGTTAAATTGAGGTGTATTGATTTCAGAGTCCAGGACAGTTGGACGACTTGAATGAGATGATTAAGGAGGACACTGGCTATGATGGAGATCTCTCCACAATGGACTTCAATTTAACTCCAAGAGAGAGCAAGCACAGCAAACAGGTACTGTAAATGTGATACTCTTTACTTAAAGACCAAGATCCGCAAAATCAGCATTCAAGAAACTTATAACAATTTGTCACAAATTTTCATCATCGTTAATGATGTACATATTCAGCCATGAAAAAAAAATGCAGTGTTTCCCCTGCCAAACCAAATCTTTTGGTCCACCACTACGGAGTTGTCTAAAACAAAAATTTTATTTACTTTGTCACAGTTGAGAAGTTTTGTAGAATTTGTCATACACTCATTAATAGTGAAAAGTTGATGATATTTTGGGCGGAAGTTTTATGGGGTTACACACCTATTCTCTATAACATGTATAGGTTTTTGGCTCATTCACTGATATGTTTTTGATATTTTTATCAAATGATTAAAAAAATTTGCAATAATTATCGTCCTTGACCAATGCAGGAAGAAAAAAACAAGAAAGCAAGACAGTCCTTGAAATGGCCAGTGTCTGAGGGATCAATCTTCAACAATGCTGAGTCACTACTTCTGTCGCCAGAAACTCCGGTACATTACAAATTTGTTTTTATTTGCATATTTTTGTGAATTTGTGGTATCAACTTAATAAGGACAAGGTACTAAGTCAGTTTTCAGCAACAAACCTGACCAAATTGACTTCAATACTGATGTGTTAATATTCTGTATTTTTCTCAGTAAAGAGCTAACTTTGAGCCCATGTGAGCATTATCAAGTATGCATTGCTTTCAATGTTCAAACAAAATTAACAAATATTGACATATTGATAAAAGTCTCTAATTTAAGGGTGGATGGGTGGTAGAGATTGGGGAAGTGATAGGTAGCTTAGTCATTCAGAGTGTTGATGTACGAACAAGGTGAAAATCCAAGGTGATTATTCATTGCTTCCTTCCCATTTCTTGGGAAGCTGAGAACCACTGGTCTTTAACTAGGTGAAGATCCAAGGTGTTTGTTGTTCCCTACACATTACTTGGGAAGCTGAGAACCACTGGTCTTTAACTAGGTGAAGATCCAAGGTGTTTGTTTTTCCCTACACATTACTTGGGAAGCTGAGAACCACTAGTCTTTAACTAGGTGAAGATCAAAGGTGTTTGTTTTTCCCTACACATTACTTGGCAAGCTGAGAACCACTAGTCTTTAACTAGGTGAAGATCCAAGGTGTTTGTTGTTCCCTACACATTACTTGGGAAGCTGAGAACCACTGGTCTTTAACTAGGTGAAGATCCAAGGTGTTTGTTGTTCCCTACACATTACTTGGGAAGCTGAGAACCACTGGTCTAACTAGGTGAAGATCAAAGGTGTTTGTTTTTCCCTACACATTACTTGGCAAGCTGAGAACCACTGGTCTTTAACTAGGTGAAGATCCAAGGTGTTTGTTGTTCCCTACACATTACTTGGGAAGCTGTAACTAGGTGAAGATCCAAGGTGTTTGTTGTTCCCTACACATTACTTGGGAAGCTGAGAACCACTGGTCTAACTAGGTGAAGATCAAAGGTGTTTTGTTGTTCCCTACACATTACTTGGGAAGCTGAGAACCACTGGTCTAACTAGGTGAAGATCAAAGGTGTTTGTTGTTCCCTACACATTACTTGGGAAGCTGAGAACCACTGGTCTTTAACTAGGTGAAGATCCAAGGTGTTTGTTGTTCCCTACACATTACTTGGGAAGCTGAGAACCACTGGTCTAACTAGGTGAAGATCAAAGGTGTTTGTTTTTCCCTACACATTACTTGGCAAGCTGAGAACCACTGGTCTTTGACTAGGTGTGGGTGTTTGTTGTTCCCTACACATTACTTGGCAAGCTGAGAACCACTGGTCTTTAACTAGGTGAAGATCCAAGGTGTTTGTTGTTCCCTACACATTACTTGGCATATTTGCTATGCCACTGGTCTTTAACTAGGTGAAGATCCAAGGTGTTTGTTGTTCCCTACACATTACTTGGCAAGCTGAGAACCACTGGTCTTTAACTAGGTGAAGATCCAAGGTGTTTGTTGTTCCCTACACATTACTTGGCAAGCTGAGAACCACTGGTCTTTAACTAGGTGAAGATCCAAGGTGTTTGTTTTTACACATTACTTGAAATTAGAACCACTGGTCTTTAACTAGGTGAAGATCAAAGTTGTTTGTTGCTCCCTACACATTACTTGGGAAGCTGAGAACCACTGGTCTTTAACTCGGTGAAGATCCTAGGTATATATTTTGTTGTTCCCTACACATTACTTGGGAAGCTGAGGACCACTGGTCTTTAACTAGGTGAATATCCAAGGTGTTTGTTGCTACCTTCCTGTTGCTTGTTTCTTGGTGTGAAATGGACTGATCTGTGCTGACATGGTTGTAACATTTTACCCTGATTGTTGTGGATGACTTATGACAAGCCTCCTGTATATAGATCAATGATGTAGCCACCAGCTTTTTCAAGGAGACCTTGCCTCAAAATGATACTGATGTTCACAGGGCAATTATTTTAATAAACAAACTCTTAGTCATATATTGTCACAAACTTACTAATTTGTTGACATTGGATTTTGTGGATATATGTATAGCTCATATTAATGTTCTTGTATTAATTTCAACAGTTCATGGACATATGAATTCGTGGATTAAGAACACCCAGGAAATCAATGTACAATAAATCACCAATGAAAATGAATGATTTTAAAGTATTTCACCATTGCTTCAGCTATATTTGAGGGCTGCTGTTGTAAAATGGTGATTCATGAATATTCTGTTTTTCTGTCAGAGCAAATCCTTGATTGGGGACACAAGTATTGTGTTTTCTCCACCCTCCATCATAAAGGAGACACTGGCTGAGGAAATTATGGAAGATGTGTTCGCCGTCCCAAAACCCTCTCGCCAAGAAAAAGCAAAAGAGGTGAATATGTTAATAATCCCCCCCCCCCCCCAAAAAAAAAAAAAATTTGTGGGACTTTGTTTTTGCTCAATTTTTTCTTCTCATGATCATCCCTACTTTTCTGGTTTCTTTTGTTAGCAAGATTGTGCCACTTATTATCCTACCATGAAACCATACTGAACAACTGAATTGTTTCTAGAGTGAGATGTACATATATCTTGATACTGTAGACTACCCTACATTATTGAGGAATCACATCTTGGAGAAATATTGAACATTATTTGGTAAAAATTGATTTGCTACCATTTTGCTTTCCAGATGCACGTTGGGAGGAAGTCGATAAAACGAATAAAATTCTCTGATAGTGCTTCTGTGAAATCTATAGTAAAGGTAAGATTTATTGTATAGAAAAAACAAATACATCCATTTTAAGGAAATATGAAATAAAACAGAGTGGCTGCTTGATCTTTATGCCTTCTTGTGCTACTTCAGGCTAACTGAAGACTATAATCACCACTGACACCATGAATAAGCATAATGTTGTCAGAATACCAATAATGAAAAGATTGTACATTCAAGTTTATGATTATCATGTATTCAAACTATGTTACACAACATTTTGGTAAAAAGCATTTTCACAGAACTCAAATTTTGTGATTTTCCAAAATGAAACATCTTAGTTGGCACTTGATGGCAGGTGTAGTGTACGATTAAACTATAATAGAGTTAAAACACGTCCATTTCCATAGATTGACCAATGTACACTACTGATAGTGCTTAGAAATACTGCCGTTTATCACCTTTGGAGTCAGTTTACTAAGGGCTGTCAAGTCAATGCCTACATTCACGACATTAATGCATTGATCTTTCTCACATTCCTTTTGTAGACTCCCCATAGTCCTTAATTGTGCAATTTAGGACTGATCAGAAAAAACAATTTGGCCAACAAGTGTCCATATTGGATTTTGAATGTTTCAAGTTTTTTATTGCTACCTCTTGAAAAGTACTTTATGTACCCTTCTCAAATATATACATGTATAAAAAACCAACACAAAAAAAAGATCTTCTTAAAATATTTTAAAGAAAATATAAACTAATTGTAAAGCTTCTGAAGATTTTATATGAAAGCACTTATAGATTACTAGTCAGAAATGTTTCCAGTTTTATTATTTTTCTATGTATATATAAATGTAAAACAACCTTGCATCAATGCATGAACATTGACAAAAGCTGCTATTTTGCATTCCAAACAGCATTGTGAACATTTGTATTTATATGAAAACAATGAATTGATGGCCTTTTTTCTAACAGAATATACACAATTATTTTATTTGTCTATTACTTACAAGGGACACAATCAAAATAGAAAATGACAAACTTTTCTTGTTTGACCATATACTTTGTAATGCCATTTGGTATAGATAACATATAAAGACTTAAAGTCATATATCTATACATCGAAATTAGTTTTCTTTAATTTGTAATCTTTTTTCTCCAGCTTGATTCTGCTTTTGAACGAGTGGCCTGCGGCAAGTCTGATGATCAGATGACAATGACAGACCTGGCTCGTCGCTTTCTTTCCCAGAAAGGCGGCATACTTTTAGGTTAGAGTTGAAGCATATATGACTAAAGGTGTTGTATTTCTGTGATAGACTGTTGTATTTATGTGTATACTGATCTGAATTGCAAGGGTGTACAAGTGTGTGTGAGCTGTAACAGTGTGCCAGTGTGTGTAATGATCACATTGTTAGGGTGTATCAGTGTGTAAAGATCTACATTGTTAGGGTGTACCAGTGTGTGTAATGATCTACAATGTTAGGGTGTAGTGGTGTGTCAGTTAGGGTGTACCAGTGTGTGTGTGTGTGTGTAAAGATCTAAGGGTGTGTAATGATCTACATTGTCAGGTGTGTGTGTGTGTGTAATGAGTGATCTGTGTGTAATGATCTACATTGTTAGGGTGTACCAGTGTGTGTAATGATCTACAATGTTAGGGTGTACCAGTGTGTGTAATGATCTACAATGTTAGGGTGTACCAGTGTGTGTAATGATCTACATTGTTAGGGTGTACCAGTGTGTGTAATGATCTACATTGTTAGGGTGTACCAGTGTGTGTAATGATCTACATTGTTAGGGTGTACCAGTGTGTAATGATCTACATTGTGAGGGTGTACCACAGTGTGGGTAATGATCTACATTGTTAGGGTGTACCAGTGTGTGTAATGATCTACATTGTTAGGGTGTACCACAGTGTGTGTAATGATCTACATTGTTAGGGTGTACCAGTGTGTTTTAAAACCAAGGAATATAGACATCATTGTTGAATTATAAGAGTTAGCCCCCTTCTTTTGGAAGCAAATTTTCATTATTACTATTACATACACAACGAATGCAGCAAATGTACAGTCAGGCATCTGAGGTGATTTCTCTCAAACTTTCAGTGACCTTGTGAGGACACTAGATACATGCCTTACCTCCTATTTAACATCAATTTAGCTCTGCTTGATTGTGTCTGTTCATGTAAAAAAGTGTATGACTTTCAATCTAGTTTTATTACCTGTAAAACATTATGAAATCATTTTGATATTTGTTGAATCTTTGTCATTTTAGAAGATTGCCTTATGAAAGAAAAAAAGAGAAAAACCTTTGTACTGTCTAAATTACTTGCATGCCTGTATATAATTATAACACTTAACAAGTTAAAATTAATTTCTTTTTTATGTGTATGGTTCTGGTAATGTTTATCAAAATTAAATATTACATTGATATAATTGTAAATTTAAAGTCTGAATTTTGAACATGGCCATTGAAGGTTTTTGTGATATTTTATTTTGGAGAAGACCCAATGAGAGTTTTATTCATTACAGAAAAGATGAGAAAGGTTTTCTGATACTGCTTCAGAGGTAGTAAGCACTTCAAAGGTAGTACTTTATATGGAGAAGCTGGTCTGTCTCGCACCTCTTTGTGTATATTTACATTTTACACATACAATGTATATGCTTTTTGTCTTATTACTTGACTGTACTAGAATCACATAGTGTAACATTTTTTTGGATGGTTCAAATTTTTGTGGTTTTGCAGTGATTACTCTACAATTTTTCATGAGTCCTTTTCAACTTCATTGCTAAAGACCATGGATCCCAGAATGTAAAACTTAAGTATTTCCAGAAATTCTACAAGTCCTATCAAAATTCTATGAGTACAGGAAAGTAGTTATGTCACTGTTTTGAGAAAAGCTTGAAGTAAAGAGGCTGTACATACAAAATTGTATATTTTTCACAGAACTCATTGAATTGACTTTAGTTTGTACTAGTGTATTCATTTTATTTTCAAGGTTTTATTCAAATATTCAAACCTTGAAATAGTGAAAAAATGAATTTTTTTGAAAAAGAGAACTTTTTATAGTATATTGGAAGATCTTCCTGACCGGTGTTTGTTTAGAATTTGTAAAATTTAGGTATTTCGATTTAACAATTAAAATGAAGGTACTTAAAAATGTATCCTGGACAGTTATTGAATAGTACTACAACCACTAGGAAATTAAAGTGTTATGTTTTGCCAAATCAGCTACAATGTGTTATTACATCTTGTATTTTTTCTGTAATCTTTTTATCATAATTTTTAATCATACTACTTTCTACCCTAGTATACATAGGATTATAGTCTAGCCGCAAAATGGGTTGATGCATGCCTTCATGGACACTGTTTCTCAATGCTAGTAGGCTCCACACTGGTCAGTTGATAAAGGTGACCATGTAGTCATTGAAACGCCACACTAATCTTCAACTGGTTGTGTTATAAGCACTCCTATTCTACTGACATTAGGAAATGTTCCGAAATAGTGATAACAAGTTGTCAAAATCCAAAATGGCTCCCCAGAATAATGAGATGCAACTATGAATCTAAGAACTATGTTCTGAAAAATTATGCTGTTATGTCAAACTATAGAGTTTTTGGTAAAGTCACTATAGAGGCAACTAACTATAAATCAGCTGTGTCTTTGTCCATACATCTTACTACCATCAGTTGTTGAGGAAGCTGTTAGGTTCTTCACCTTATTTTTTTTAAGCATTGATAAAGATTTAAGTGTGAAACGTCCCTCAATCACTTGCTGACCTTTTTTGTATACTTGCATGTGTATGTTTCTTTTTATTTGTTTTTTAATTCTAAAATATTTTCTATGTAGTTTTTAATTCCAGATAGTGTGAGAAAGTTATTTCATTGATAAAGGCCTCCAGTAATCAGCATAAAAACTCGAATGACTAAATATTGTAGCATGATTTTTGCCGCATTCAGATGATATAAGTAAATCACACGAGATGGTCAATACATAAGGATGTTAAGGTGCTTTTATTATCTTGGAAGGCAACTGAATGATGTTATGTGCACCAGAGAACAAGATCAATTCTTGCATACTTTTGTGATTTTTTTATTGTTGTGTCCTGCATGTTTTTTCTAAGGTCACATTGTATGTAAGATGATTGGGAATCTTGTAATTGTATGTACAGTGGGAGGAGATATTTTGTAAGTGCATGTACATGGCATGGTAGCCTTTTGTTTGGATTGTATGAAAGGAATCATACTGGTTTTTGAGTCATATGTACTACTGTATCATGAGAAGAATATTTTGTTTGTTTTTGTTTACACATGAGAAGATGTGATATTTTGTTATAGTATATATGAGAGGAGGGGTGTTTTGTTAGCACATGTACAAGAGGAGGGTATGTATGTGTTAGTGTATGAACAAGAGAAAATATTTTTTAGTATATGCACAAGAGGAGAGTATATATTTTTTTAGGGTATGTACAAGAGGAAAAATATTGTTGGTGTATGTACAGGAAAAGGGTTATGTAATATTTTGTGAATGTATGTGTGCGAGTAAGGAATATTTTGTTAATGTTAGTATGAGGGGAGGGAATATTTTGTTAGTGTATGTATGGGAGGAGGGGATATTTTGTTAGTGTATGTATGGGAGGAGGGGATATTTTGTTAGTGTATGTATGGGAGGAGGGGATATTTTGTTAGTGTATGTATGGGAGGAGGGGATATTTTGTTAGTGTATGTATGGGAGGAGGGAATATTTTGTTAGTGTATGTATGGGAGGAGGGGATGTTTTGTTAGTGTATGTATTAGAGAAGGGGATATCTTTATAATGTACATACAGAGGGAGGTTATATTTTGTTAGTGTATGAGAGAAATGACATTTATTGTTAAGGTTGATAGTGTTTTGTCAGTGATTGTGTGGTAAGGGTACTATTCATTTCATCGTCATGGAACACTGTAAGGTTTCAGTTACAAATGAAACATCAATATAAAACCTCCTTGCAATCTTCAATATCTTGATACTCTGAAGGAGTAGAAATATGAACCTTCGTGCACAATTAGTTTTAATGGTTTTAACACTTTTTGTATTTTTGGATACTTAGGTATTTCAGTGAGTCGAGGGAACAGGGTTTAATTCTGCATTTTTGTTTTATTTAACAGAGGGTCTGGCATCCCTTGGGGCAAAGAGGCAGGACCTGATAGGGGAAATAGATGTAAATCATTTATAATCCTTTTTTTCCCATTCTAATAAAGGGAGTTGGGATAAATTTTTTCTGCGGCATCCTTGGATATAGGATATACACATTTGGAAGTGAGGTTCTGTTTCACTGGAGGCAGGGGGACAGGGCACTGTGAGGGAAATTAAGACTTTTACTCTCTCACATCCCTCTGATTCTAATGAGTGAAGTGGACTCTGTCTTGAGTGAACAGACAATGTTGCCCCCTGAGGGATGAATCTTTAGAGTACTACTGTTGGGATATAAGGATTTCTACCAAATTGGGTCTGAACCATCTTTACTTTGGTTTAGGGCCATCTTTGTTTTGACATGCAGCGAGACATGAAAAAGTTTGGCAAGCAGAAAGGTCTAGTGAAATGGTGAAACTGGAAAGAGTCCTAGTATTTAAAAAAAAAAAAAAAAAGAAGATTTGCAGAATGGATGGCCCTAAAGGGTATCTTGTTTATTTTATGTTACAGTGATAGGGCAAGTTTCTTTGAAGTGATAACATTCAGACCAACATTTTCCTATAGTGCTGATATCTTGCATGGATGTGCTTGTTGGGTCTTACTGTGATGGTATGATTTCAATGAAATATTTTCTGTTTTGTTTTAATTAACTTATAGGCCAATATGATTAATGTTTCTCTTTTCTTTTGTGTCAAATTTTTCAGTATGTGTTAAATCATATGAAATTACATGTTGGCGTTGGAAAGGTCCAGAAGACTGGTTAGAACTTCATTTAACTTTGAGTCAGAATTGAAATTGACCTGTCAATTTCTCTTTTAAATACAGTGTACATTGAAAAAAACCCAACCAAAAGCAATGATGTTAAGAGAATGGTCACCAGTGCTCTTGTTCAAAATGTATACATACTATGATAGTAAGTGTTAATTATGAATTGAAGTACAAATTTATTTTCTAACCAGAAAATATATTTTGAACTTAAACTTATCATTTCATCGTCATTTCAACTTTGTGTACAAAAAAAAAAGATAAAAAAAAAAAATGCTGTGTACAAAAAAAAAAAAAAAATAAGAAAGATGCTTACATTATAGATTTAAGAAGAAGGAAAAAAAGACAAGAACTGATGTCAGTTACTTGTTAATGCTAAGTTACTGTGTGGAACTTTTTGTCATTACAGATTACATAATGTGTATTAATTTGTATGTTTGTATCTTTTTTTGTTTGGGTATATCAATCCAAATTATTCATAGTTATAATTTATTTTTCATTGTAACATATTTTACCTTTTGTATGATGCTTTTATTCAAATGATCTTAATGTGCGTTTATTTCATACCCTTTTGTTAAGAGTTGATTATTGATAACACTAATTGTAAAATATTTGTAAATAATGCTTTAGATTTACTATTGTATTATTGCCTAGCGTGCTATGAAAAGCCACAAAAGCCAGTCTGCTGTATTACTTTTCTAACTTTTCAGACGACAGTGATGTTGTTGTCAACATTTCACTTTCAGTTTGTGTTTAGATCCATTGTTTTTTTGTTCAAAGTATGAATCCAAACTCTAAAGAAAATTAACTTGAACTGGAAATTAGGGATGGTTAGGATCTTGATTTTGATGTTTTGCTTTTGGTACAAGTGCTATTCTGACAATAGATAAAACAATTTTTGTGTGTGTGTGATCTTTTATGACAAAATGACCAATTAATACAAAGTGTCTTGTTCAATTTGCTTTAGAAGATGTTTGTACTCATATTGAAACAAGTAATGTTCGATATGAGAAGAGTTTTTCCTTCTGGATAAGATTGATATTTTAAAGGATGAAAATGTCATATGTGAGTGAATTTCGAAAATTAAAGAATTTGAAAGCTTTGAATTTAGTAAAATCAATACTTCAGTATTTAAACACGATTATAACATTTTTTGTTGCTTGTATCTGTTAATTAGAATTGATCAAGAAATCTGGTATTTTTATGGAAAAAGAGATATTTCAGTTTAAATGACATACTATTACAAATAATTCTTGTTGTTTGAAGAAAAGGAAAAAGAAATTGTTCTTTGCATCTGCTTTAACATTTAACATATTTCAGACAAGAGATACATTAGTTTGAAGATTAAGTAGGAACTATAATTGTTTTCTTGCATGTTTGTTTTCAATTTCTAAAATTCGTTTGTTAGTGTTTTTTTGTTTTTTCCTCTCAGCCTTTTTTTGTTTAAAGGTATTACTTTTATAGAAATGAAATAAAGAGAAATTATAATTATTTATACCAAAAAATTTATAATAGAATTTATCTTGACATTAAGTTTTTGATATTGAGGAGAAAAGAAGTTCTAAATAATCAGTGATATTGAAACTAAACCACATTGTTTGTATTTGTAGTGTATTGGCACAAATAGGATTTTTTTTTAAAAACATTGCTCCGCCATTACACTTTTTGAATGAAAGACTGAATTGTTTTTCAATAAAGTATATTGTTTCCTACAAGCTTGTTATTGTAGAAACTCCATTTTAATTGAAAAATAACTCTAGTAATGCTAAAGGTGGTAAACATTTTTCAATGAACTCTTTCTAGAATTAATCGTCTACCATCATCTTTGTGGTATGCTGTTCATATCTCCCTCTGTCTAATGATCTGTCCTTCATCTATAAATAAGTGGGCACCAGAATCCCTCTGTGATTTTTAGTTAGCTAACTTAACTTAAAGGATATGCCACAGTGCATCATGTCGTCCTATTCTCAGTCAATTTCTTCTTAGAAAAATTCCCTCAGGAGAACTATGTAGGGTAAGGATATGATATATAGGGAATAAGTTTCTTGGATAAAAACTGCAAACAAAACAGAAGAATTTTGACCTGTATAAAACGTCACAGAAATCAAATTAGATAAAATCTCAAAAAAATCTTCTTTTGATTGATCAAAGAAGACTGTAATTGTGATATTAAAAAAAAAACTTTACAGGGATAAAGCTAAATCAAAGTGCAAAAAAAGAAGAAAAAATTGCCTTGACCACAATTTGTATCAATGGCTATTGAAATAACCTTGTGAATTATTCTGATTGACTGAATATCTTTTTCTGACCTACTTTGTAGGTAAAATATGCCAGATGTACTTTAGAATTAAATTGAACAGCAAATGTGGGATGTATGTCTCTGTGGCCTCTTTGTTATTCTGTTTGTTGATAGTAAAGTAATTTTTGATGAGATTTCTTCTAAGTTGTCGATGTAGTAGAAAGATCTAATGAATGTTGTGCAAATAAAGTAAATAAAAGAAAAATCCAAATGTATTTGCAGTCTTCTCATCATTATTCCAATGCCTCCCTCCTGTGTAGACAGAGATTCATGGAAAATATTTATACACTTCGTAGAAACTATTTAGGTATACCAACAAAGGGAGAAGATATGGTTAACATGATGTCCCACTTCAAAAAAGTGACCGCTCTGTCATAACTCTTCAATCTACCCCTATACATTAACTTAAGAAAGGTGGGTTGCCAACTTGGGCCATTCTGTGGCCAATATTTTGTTACAGGAAGATAATTTAGTCAGCAACTTGAAGAGTATGTACCCTGATCCCAACTTGCCTGGGATCATTACTGATCAAAATCAAACAAGTGGTCTCCTACGAAAAGCTAAACTTGAAAATATGTCGTTTCCTTTTTTGTGGAGCCATGGCCAGGCAGTTCAAAGTCATGTTCACAAATCATTAGATGAAGGGAATTTACCTTCTGAATAGAAGAATTCAAACATTAGAGTGATATATAAATAAGAAATCACTGACCAGTCAGTCTGACACCAATCCTTGGAAAATGTGTGAAAAAGTAACAAGGGACAAAAATATGAAGCTAGAGGATAATAACTTAAGATACTATGGAATTAGATCTACAACACTTACTGTAAGTACTGGAAATCACAGGAAATAGTTAAGATGGATCAAAGTCTTTATGGTAGACAGAACAGAAAACAAATGGTCATTGTTTACAGGAAAGAACCAAACAAGGATACAGTTAGGAGTTGAATTGTGATTCCCAAAACCCAGTTTCATTTCAGGTGTACAGTCAAGAGGCCAGTTACAGAAACTGACTCACTTACAGTTTGTGAGAGCTGGAGAGAAGGGACACCCTGATTTGTCACATGTTTTGCAAACTAACTCTGAGCTAAGTACCATCCTGAAATATGAGAGCAGACCCCAAGTAAAAGTCTTATCTGAGGTCAGACATGGTTACAGCAGTGCCCTAATATCTGACAGTTCCAAGGTAGAAATGATGTGATGAGACTGCAACATGAATGGAAAATTGCCAAATAAGAACGGCATGTAGGACAGTGTGGATGAGTGGGATGGAACTCTCTCCTACTCCTGGAAAAGATTGGTGCCAGAGAGTTCCCTGCAGAGCCAGTTTGGAAGATGGTTCAGAAAGTGGAATAGAGAAATTGATAAGTTCATATTCACGACCCTCTGGAATGTCTGATGACAACAGCAAAATTATTTGTAGTTGATGAAAGATTATTGGTAATTTTGAAAATTCGGGAAAGAAGGAATATTCCTTCAAACCACAGAAAACATCCTAACAGTAATCAAAAACTCATACATATTTCATATTTTTTCACATAAAATTATTATTATATTTGATATTTTATATAACGTCGATAAAATAAAACGACTATCTTAATTTTCTCAGCATATCAGGCATTCACATGTTATACTTTAATTTTGTTTGCGTGCTCAGAACTTCCAGTACTTTGATTTTTAATATGCTTATTGGGTCGAGAAGGTCCGAATGGCTTCAGAAGTTTATTCCGAATAGCTATGGCGGCAAATTTGGGTAACTGGCAAGAGGAGATCAATGCCATTTTAATGAAAGCACGTGGAAGGGTCCTTTGTGATTTCCAGGAAGCTTCAACAGACGAAGAAAGATTGCGTTTTATCATTTCTAGAGGCTTGATAAGGTAAACATCACTGTCATTAAAGATAACGGTTAAATCTCGATGTTTAACATAGAAATTTCTAGCGGTACTGACACTTCCGGTTTACCACAAGTTTAATTCTTTCATAGACCGCTTTCGCGTAACCCGGTCGAAACGGTTCAGGTGGTCTGGAATGGGGCCACTATATACAAACGCACCTGTACCGGATATTGGAAATGAAATATGTAAAGCTCAAAATGCACAATTTCAGAATTTCCTGTCGAGCATACATCAATTGATTAAAAATAAAATTAAGATATCATCAATTTCACTTATACTTAACAGCATAATGCATATGGAAATATGTGCGTGCACTGATCCTGCTTTATGCTGAAATTCTGATAACTAATGATGCTCAGCAAATTAGTTTCGAACAGGTACGGCTGGACCCCTCAATGTGCACGTGCCAAATATTCCGCACGTCCGCCTCGGTCCTGATCTGTACCTGGCATTTCTCTTGGTTCAACCGGGTCAATCGTTTCAGCTGTTTACATAAAAGCTACCATATATTATAACATATATTCTATAGAGGAAAGTCCTGTAAATACAAACATATTACATTTGTCCCACAAAACACGTTACAGAATGCCACATTCCTTTGACCTGAAATTGTGTAATTAAGCTGGAGGTTGAAAAGAGGGAAAGAGCAGGTATAGAGCTATTGTATTTGACATGTGTAGTCATGGTGGTTGAATGGTTAAGGCATATGACTGTCTTTATCACTAGCCTTTCACCTCTGGGTCGAGAGTTTAAGACCTATTTGGGGAACTTGCCTGGTGCTGGCTGCAGGTTGGTGTTTTTTTCTCTGGGAATTTCGGCTTTCCTCCACCACCCAAACCTGGCAAGTCCTTCAATGACCCTTTCTGTTTATAGGATGTAAAGCAATAATAAACTAAACAGGTCTAGCACTCAGCAGTCCAAATGGTTTTATCTGTCCTCTATTTTATTTTAGCTTGGCCACAAACAAGTTAAAATGAATCGAGGACAGATAGTCAGAACCCTTTGGATGAAACACTCCAGTGCTTGTGGTTGAAATTAAAATGATGTATATGCAAATACAATATATGATGTCTAACCCCTAGCACTGTGGTCTGGCAGACAATAATTCTTGCTGTCAATACAAATAAAGTGTGGTACACAATATTGGAAAATACTTCAGTTATCAAAATATAATAGATATTAATTCATTTCAAAGTTTTTTTTTATCATCATATTTATGTTCTATTTTAAAATTCTGCTGATTAACATATAGTTAAATTTTGTTCAACAGAAACATTTCCTGGCTGAACTTCTATATCCAAAATTGTAAGAAACTTCATTGTAAGTCTGTGGAGAAGTCCAAATGTTACAGAGAACAAGGCAACACATATTTTCAGCAGAAGAAATATGAGGAATCGTTGCACTACTATATAAAGGTAATTATGAAATTATGTTAAATCATTTATCAGTCATCATCAGATAGTCTAGACTTTTCAAACAACACTTTTTCTATCCTTCTGTGTGTCCATTTATCTATGCATTCTGTATTGTGAATGATTGGAAAAACAAAATGGCCGAGAGACAGTCTGAACTTGAGAAATATTTCATGGATTGTTTTCAAATTTTGATTTTAACTTCAAATTTCAATTTTGTTCATGATTTCGTTATAATTAAAAATGATGGTTAAAAAGAAAATGGCCAAATAATCGCCATCTTGAATTTGATATCTGACAGTAAGTATCACTTTAAGTTATGGATGACAATGTAGTTTGATCAGCAATATATGCTATGACATAAAGAGATACAACATTATATAGTTACAGGTACTTTAAAATCATTTATTTTTGTGGGGCTTAATTTTCATGGTTTTCCCCCTCAAAAAACCTAATTCATGGACATTTTATTTTGTTGATAAATTTTGCCCAATAAATCTACTTATAATTATAGCACTTGGTGGATTTATGTATGAATTTGTTGATTAAAAGTAGCCATTAAAATAAATATTCTGTGAAAATTAATGGTTTTACAGTTACACAGCAATACATAATACTTCATTTATTACTCATCATCAGTTTTATCAGAAATACAAATTTTAAAAAAAGAGCAAATAAGAGAAAAGAAAAGTGGGGAAAATGTAATGTATTGAAAAATAAAAATCATATGTTGGTAACAAGATCCACTTGAAATCTAGTTTTCTGTTAATTATTGTAAGATGTAGAACACGATGTTGACTTAAATGTTGCAGGCAATTATCCATGCTCCAGGAATTGAAGCCAAGACAGAGGACTTATCCCTTGCATATGCTAACATGTCTGCTTCATTGTATCATCTGATGAAATACCAGGTTAGTGTGATTTAAAAGTGTATGTATCAGTATCCCGGCTTCTAGCACTCAACTGTCAAATACGATGCTAGGACATTAGTGTTTGTTGGTAACATAACACCAAGTAAGGGAAAGAGTTACAGAGATGAAAAACCAGAAACCAACAACTTCCGAACCAGTGTATAAACCTATGTTAATCTATATCTATATAAGTACCGATTGCAGGATTGAAAGTCATTTTTTAGTGTCTAGCAAAGAAGTGGAAGTGCCTCAAATTTCTAGAAGCAAAATTGGATTATGTGCTAGCAAAATTTACAACAATGTTCATTGCACATTGTAGCATATTTTAACCAATACAATCAACATGTTAAAAAATAAAAAAAGACAATGCAATGTTGAAAATCAATTGAAAGATATCAAGAGAGACAATGCAAGGTATTGGTTTCAGGAGTACAAGACTATATGTAAACTCTGCTTTACAACAATGTGAAACAAGTTTGTTCTACTTATACTAATCACTCTTGTTGGCCTGGATGTAAGCACATGCAAGGCTTATTATGGGAAGAAACCAGAGTACACGAGGGGAAAAACCCATGTGGTCAGGAAGGTGACCCCTTACCTTTTCATACCTGTTTCGGGAATTCAAACCCTGGACAGCTAGGTGAAAGGCAAGTGCATTACCTCTGCGCCACCTGACCGCAAGACTGGATTGATCAAATTAATATCTACATTTGGCCCATCAGTAACATTTCAACAAATGTTTCGGTAATGAAGTTAAACATTTTTTTGTAGACAAAACACCTGTTCACACGAGAATGTTAATATCCAAATTACCATATGATTTTCAAGCTTGTTGCAATATACATTAAATCAGCTTGCCAGATTAAGTTTAAATCTTGTCTTTATTTGCTAAAATCCACAAAATATTTGATGCATTATTTCTACAACTACTTGTGTAATTTCTTCATGATTAGAAGATACAACAAGACACAAACTAGTTACTACAAATAAATTAATTTATAGTTACTTTTTTGGGATTGATGCTTCACAAAATTGTGCAAATCTATAAAACTTGCTTTCCATGAAGAACTGGGCTTATCATTTTCATATTTTCAAATTCAATTTTATGCATTACCTTTGTTCCTAGGTGTGCATTCTGTTTTGAGACTGATCAGGAAAACAAAAATGGCCAGCAGACAGCCAGCTTTGGTTTTCACATTTGTGGTTTGTTATTTCTGTTTGGGCAAGGAGCCATCTTGTATTCTAAAAGTTTAAAATATCTCCTGTTCTTGAAAAGTAATAAGTTTGTTATCAGTATTTCTTGAGAAGTACTGAATCATCAATCTCAGATGTTGTGTGTGTTCCCGTTGGTCCTGTAATGTGCATGTTTTAATTTTTGAATGAAATGGGGAAAAAAAAGAAATGAAAAGAAAATCATCTCTCTGGTATATCTTTTTATTCAAAATTTTTGATGTTGTTTTACGTTTAGGCTTGCCTTGCCAATATCACAGCAGCCATGGAGAGTGGTTACCCGGACCGTTTGCATCACAAACTCCTCCTTCGTCAGACACAGTGTCTACTGTACTTGAAACAGATTGAAGATGCCAACACTAGTAGGTGAAGATTTTCTGCTATATGATGTGTATCTATGTAATCCCTGACTTCTGTTTCAGTATATCGTGACTTTATAAAACATGAGTTATTTGAATTTAACTGGTTTTCCAAATCATTTTAATCCCATATCATCTCTATGCAGGTGTACAGGTAGCAAAACAGCATGCAGGGAAGATGAAGAGTACAGATAAAAAGAAGGCAGGTAAGGCTAACAGATAACAGTTAACATGATGTGGTGTGGTTTTGATAATTTAGTCATAATTATTCATCTGTCTATCAGTCAGAATTTTACAAAATAGAGGTTATGAGGCAAATTTATACTTCTTCTAAAGAACCATCTAGTGCAGGGTCATGATACTTGGAGGAAGCCCAAGAAAGTTAGTGAAAAGAATTGTCCTTGATCCCATATTAAATGTCATAAGATTTTATATATATGTGTGTGACAGAATCAAAATACTGGTCCTGGCAAGGCTGTGTGAATGGTGTGATTGATCAGCTGTATGAAAGAATTGTCATTAGATTGTAGTGTTGATATGTAACAGTGGTTTAGTATATTATTTTAGTAAATAGACACTATATTTAGCTTCTCCCTGTAGGTTGTTTTTACAGAGTACATATCTGTCCTTAAAGCTAGTTGTTTCTTTTATTTGACCAGAGAGCGGAGCCCCAGAGTTACAGAGCCTAGGGTTGTCATGAAACATAATAGTAGTATTGTATTTCATTCCTACTACACATGTCACCTATAATATCTTTCAGTTATACTTAAATATGTTCTTTCTTGATGTCATTACAGACATTTTTCTTCAAGAAATTTCAAGTGTGGAAAGGAAACTTGCTAATGCTGTTGACAAGTAAGTATCTTTATAGGTGTCAAATTTCACAAATAAAAGATTAATGATTTTACCAACTGGTACCTTTTAATCCCTCACCAGTGAAAATTGAATAATAATAATAAAAGAAAAATGGCTGTATGTCAGTTTGTCTATTTTCTGAGCAACTCAAAATGATTTGCACAAAACTTTGTGAAACATCACTGATGCAGATATCACACATTTGTGTAACTGCCCTTATATTTCCGATCTGCCTATTCTTAATGCAATTATGCCTCTTCTGCTGTGATTGTTGACTGAATTTGGTTAGGACAACTTCTGCAATTCGGAAACTATGAACTGTTCACACATTGTTCTCGTTGAGTTATGCCCCTTATACTATGTCAGTAGATGGAATCTTGTCAGGAAAAAATTCTCTTGCTAGAACACTGATGTCATCACCACACGGAAAAAATTGTGAGAGTTATTCCCCTTCCACTATGTCATTTGACAATCTTGTCAGGAGAACTCATCCTACAGTTTCTTTCCAAAATTTGTGTAATTTCCCTATTGTAGTTAGCACACTTTTTCTTTACATTTCCTTCTGGAGTTATGCCCCTTTGTTGTAAATTAGTGTTAGAGTCTTTATCCTTAAATCTTTGTGTGGATGAAACTTTTTTAACGAAATATGGTCTAAAGTATCTTTGCGTGAAAGGAAATTATTTTGTATAAATTTAAGGTCCCCCTGAGGTCAGAGAGGCAGACCATTAATTTGATTTGCAAAAGAAAAAATGCCGAATTACACTAATTAGATTTGTTTATCTTTCTTTCACAGTAAAAGTAACAACGATACATACGAAATGAAGAAAACCAAACTTCCTGATCTTAGTTATGGAAGAAACCAGTTAGTGACTCAGGCAACTAGTGGTCTTAGGATGGAACAGACTAGAGAAAAAGGGCGCCATCTTGTGGTAAGTCTATTTAGTCTTTTTTGCCCTGTGTATTTCTCTCCATCACTGAAGATGTTGATTTTTAGGTTATCTGACACAAAGGGTCATAATGACCTATAGCCATTGTGCTTTGTCCGTTGTCGTGCCATGTCCTTTGTGCGCTGTCTGCCTTGTGTAAACTTTTGATATTTTAAACTTCTTCTCAAGTTCCACCACTTGGATTGAGCTCAAACCTATATGAAATGATCCTGAGATGGTCCTGACCAAGTGTTGTTATTTTTTTGAGTGGGTCTGAAATCCAAGATGGCCACCATCTTGAAAAACATATTTTAAACTTCTTCTCCAGTTTCATCAGTGCCATTAAGGTAAAAATTAGTGAGAATGTTAAGGAAAGGTAGCAAACAAAAGTTTTGTTAATTTTCGACCTTGTCACTGCATAATGGAGAACAGCTTCTTAGGAAGATTTCATTCAAAGTAGAAAAATAACCCTTCTCCCTGCTGAATGTTTTTGTAGTCAGATGACCTTTATGGCCTTTCGGCCTCTTGTTAAATTCATATTTTTTATGAAAGCTCCAATTAAATATGGTAATACTCAGCTTTACTTGTTAAAGAACCAGAAGAATTTATGTCAGGGACATGACATCCTTCCATCTGTCTGTCCATCTGTCTGTGTATTGACATATTAAAGATCACAGGAATCAAATTTGTTGAAACCTGTATACCTGAATACCAGGTGAATGATTACAGGCCCATTGGGCCTCAGGTTTTTTTCCTTGGTGTTAATCGCTTAGTCGTTTTTCTTTTATCAGATTCATTGTGAAATTTCTGGGTTGCCCAATCAGGGTATCCACAAGCTTGCATGGCACTGTAGATGTGATTTTGTTCTTCCTTGTTGTCTTGTTCTTCTGTTACAACCCCTTCACATCCATTGACCAAGGTTTGTACGATCTGAATGATATCCTATAATTTGTCAGTGGGTATGTTGGTAAAAAGAGACACTACATCATGTGAAATAAATTTCTTATCTTTTTGTATAAGTATTGTGGACATACTTTTTACAAAGTCTTTCAAGTTTTTGACATGATATTCTGATTTTCCCATCAGGGGTCCTAGAATGTCCACTAGTTACCTGGAGACATTGTAACCAATGGAACCAGTATAATCCACTAGAGGCCGTAATAGGCTCCCTTCTTTGTGGATCTTGTGTGTACAGCACATTTTAGGTGTGTTCTCTGCATTGGGATAAGGTCACTGTGATGTAATAAGTTCATTGTGACGTAATAAGGTCATTGTGACGTAGTTAGTTCACTGTTACGTAGTTAGTTCACTGTTACGTAGTTAGTTCACTATGACATAGGAAATTCACTGTGACGTAGTAAGTTCACTGTGACTTAGTTCACTGTGACATAATAAGTTCACTTTGACTTAGTAAGTTCACTGTAACGTACTGTGATGTAGTTAGTTCACTGTGACGTAAGTTAACTGTGAAGTATTTATTTTATTGTGAAGTAGTTAAGTTCACTGTGACACTGTGACGTAGATAGGTCACTGATGTAGTTAGTTCACTGTGACATAGTAAGTTCACTGTGACATAGTAAGTTCACTGTGATGTAGTTAGTTCACTGTGACGTAGTTAGTTCACTGTGACGTAGTTAGTTCACTATAACTTAGACCACTGTGACATAGTAAGTTCACTGTGACATAGTAAGTTCACTGTGACGTAGTTAGTTCACTGTGATGTAGTTGAAACATCACACTCGAATCTTCTACTGGTTGTGTTATAAATGAAGGTGACTGTTTAGTCATCAAAATGTCACTCTCGAATCAGATTGTCACTACAGATGTGATTTTGTTCTTCCTTGTCTTGTTTTTCTGTAACAATTGTTTTATATCTATTGAGCATGGTTTGTATAATGCCCAACTTCTGGTGTAAGGGTTGGTGCAATCAGAAGTTGAGGTATTGGTCAGTGTACGTCTTGTTTCCTGTAGACCAATACTTTGATAGTACTGTCACATCTATGACAAAATGTTACACAAAGCGTAGCTGGATTGACTACAGTATATTGTTACCATCTGGTGTATTTTTTGGGTCTATAATCTGTTTACCATCTTGTCACACTATTTTTGACCTTTGTGTACATAGGATCATACATCAGTGCTAGTATGCTCCACACTGGTTATTTGTCAGATGAAGGTCATCGAGTAGTCATTGAAATGTCACACTCTCATCTTCTACCGGTTATGTTATAAGAATTATATCCTATAGGCATTTGTTTTGTTCTATCACGTGTGATCAAAATTCAACAAACTGATTAAGGTTTAGAGGGAAAAAAATTAATCTTTTGGAAAAAAAAGATGTTTGTAGATTTCATTTTTTCATGGGAGCGTTCATATCACCATAATTGTGACGTAAGCCATAGTAGAGCCCAAAAGGTGTTTCTAGCAACATGAAATATCTAGAGTGTACAATGCCCAATATTACAACAATGTCTTTTCATGTTGACTTTGTTGTACCAGGTAGTTTGATGGAGATTGCCAATTTGTTTACTGGTGTTTGAGTGGTTTTATTCATGCTTTAGCACTATGTGTATGGTATAAAGAAACTGGACAAAGGTCTGTAAGGTACAAATTTATGAAATGATGAGTCCTGGTATAGTGTGCCCAATACAAACAGGTAAATGCAATTTTAAATGTGACAGTTGATTTAATTTACCTGTTGAGGATGTAATGTATAAGTGTTGCAATTGTATTTATAAATAATAAGATGAATGACACAGTCCCTACACTGTATGTCTTAACCTGGTTTACACTTGCAGGGATCTCGATCTGCCAGATTTGGGGCCGATATTTGGCCCCATTCCCAATGCAAAATAGTATCTTTTTTCCCAATTTAGACCCCAAGTTTTCCCAATTCTATGGAAAACACCACTATTTTTCCCAATTCAAAGGGCCCCGGGCCCCAGTCCCAAAATGGGGTGTGAGAGCCCTGAATTGCTGACCTGCCTCACTAGACACTATTCCATGATGACAATGCTCTTCCACAGGGCTGATACAAGCTATCTTGGATGTTTAATTCTAGCTCTTCCTGTCTCACCTTGTGTCGCTTTCCATCAACCAATGTCCCACACCTTCTGACATTATGTTAATGATATTAATCCCTCGCCCTGTATTTTGTTATGATGAGAGAAACAGAAATTGAAAGACTGTCATGGCTTGTTTTTGCAACAGAAAAAAAAATTAAATTGTATAGTTGTATTGATTGAAAGCTTATATTGCTCTTTTTTGAAAAATAAAATAGAAAATGAAAAATCTTATGAAAAGATGTCAAAACTGTGTCTTCATTATGTGATTTTGTTATTTAATGTCTTTATCTGATAAATAATGCTGGCAAAATAAAAGTTTTAGAGGATTTTATTTTCATGGAGGTGTGATTTATTTTTTATGACCTATGAAATTTTATCATTTGATATGAAAACAAATGAGAAGTAATTATTTCACCATGTTTGACAATACCATTCTGCACCAGTAAGGAGAGTTGGTCTCATGTTTGTACTTTCTATATACCACAAATCATGTGAAGTCAGCTCTGGTCAGCTGGGAGACAGAGGGTATATCTTGCGACAATTCCAGACCTTGATCTAGTTCTTGGGTCACATTTGGACAAGGAAATCATTTCAATGTACATTAATCCCTAGTTAGATGGTGCTATCTTCTCTATTTGTTCAACACACACATCTACTTCCAATACTGAAGTTGTATAGAAACCATTAACAGCCAGTATACAAACTTAAGGGGTATTATCAGTACCTGTACATATACCAATGTCCATAAAAGTGATCAATGAGTTTAGACACAGGCAGGGTGAAATACCACTTAAGATTTTACAATCCTGTCTGTTATTTATTCAGGCTCTTGTCTGTGATATTGATGGACTTTAAATGCTCAGTTACATTTCTGGACAATTAATGTTTATCTAAACAAAAAACTCCGATTGAAACAGCTCGTGTATTGTACCTCCAGTTTCTGATGTGGTCTTTTGAAGATTGATTAATGTCACTTGTGCATGTTTACTGTTGGCATTGCTGACGTAAACGAAATTTCTATTTACACATTACTAAAGCTGTGTAAAATTTCTTTGTGTCCATATTGGGGTATATGTTTCTCATTCAGTGGAGTAATCTAGCATTAGTGTATTTGCTGTCCCCATTGATAGGTAAAGGGGCTGGGGGTATGTTGTAGAAGTGCTGTTACTTCCTTATTGAGGCAGGTGTTCATCCTGAATTTTTCAATTTTAAATTTGTTAAGAGTCCAACATTTTAGGATGGTGGTTATTGAAATAAATCTGTGGTGTGTTGTCTGTCCTTCTGTCTGTCAGTCTGTCTATCTCTCCATAAACAGTTGTTGTTATTGCTTTTTCTTGAGATGTGCTAGATGGATCTTTCTCAAATATCATGCTTAGCTTAGGTACCCCTTGCTTCCTAGTTTTGTCCTTTTGATTTTTTGATGGATCAGGAAAACAAAATGGCTGACAGGTGGCCATCTTGGATTTTGACAACAAATATTTATTATACCTCTTTCTTTGCAAATACTGTATAGATCTTTCTCAAAAATTAAGACGCTGGTTCCTGTCAGTCCCTAGATTTCCTGTTTGATTTTAAGAGTGGTCAGAAGACAAAAGGCTGACTGGTGGCCATCTTGGATTTTGACAGCAAAAATATATTATAGCTATTTCTTTGCAGATACTGTATAGATCTTTCTGAACAATTTAAACGTTTGTTCCTGTCAGTCCCTAGATTTCCTGTTTGATTTTGAGAGTGGTCAGAATACAAAAGGTTGACAGGTGGCCATCTTGAATTTTGACTATGAAAGTTTTGTATTGCTATTTCTAGAAGATTTCTCAAATTTTGTTTGTAGGTCCCCCTTGGTCCCTAGTTATGCCCTTCTGATTTTGGGAAAATCAAAATGGCCTACTGGTGAGCATTTTTAATATGGCAATTTAAGATTAATACTGTAGTACTGTATCTTATGGAATTTTTCAAAAGTAAAAAGAATGAAAAGATCCAAACATTCTGGACTTCAGTATCCCCACTTCCTTTTTTCACAATTTGAAAGCATGATTGATTGTTAAAATTCAGATCTATTGGTATGTGATGTAAACACAATAAAAAACAATTATTTAGCCCATTATCATAAGGACACTGGGAATGACTTTAAAACTAACATTTTATGGTGGCACATGATATTGGAAGTCTAGTGGTTATTACATGGAATATGTCATCAATAGACGAGTTACCAATGTTCCCCAACAGCTCATGTTTATCTAACACCTTCATGTCAATAACAACTAATGTTTATCTATGTCACATATATCAGTGTATTTCTATTCATTCAGCAGTGATATACTGGTGAATGTAAAGCTCAACAGCTCCCAGTAGGAAATTACAAATAATACGAACCAGGGTCAAACATATCTTATTTGTGTGATGTGTCAAAGAAAAATGTGATACAAAAAATTTTCTATTGCATCCAGAAAAAAAAAGAAGCTCTTTAACTTTTAGAAGAAAGGATCAATTATATTTGGAAGAAAACTATTTGTGTGTGCCTGGAAACAAATTAAACATAAGGATAAGACGAGAGGCTAATTCACTGTTTCTGGTATACATATTTACTTACCTGTGCGCGTATGATTTACAAAGAGAACTTGAGGTTTACATCACTTGCTGTCACAGGTAACCCAACACTGGCTGACAGCCAGCTGAGAAAAGTGCAAAGTGATTTTATTGGATCTGAATTTTTAAGCATTAGCTACAATTGATTATGTACAATCTGTGAACAGGTACTGTTACAATTGCTTATTGACAGTAGACATGCAGATATTGTGTGTTAAAGGAGCCTTCCAAAAAACTGTAGACAGCCCTGGTGCAGTGTAGGAGCCTTCCAAAAGCTGTAGACAGCCCTTGTGTAGTAAAGGAGCCTTCTAAAAACCAGTAGACACCTCTTTGTGGTAAAGGAGCCCTCCAAAAAACTGTAGACAGCCCTTGTGTATTGAAGAAGTCTTCAAAAAGCTTTAGACAGCCCCTGTGTGGTGAAACAATCTGCCAAAAACCAGTAGACAGTTCTGTGTGGTGAAAGGGCCAGTCAAAGCCCAGTAGACAGCTCTGTGTGGTGAAAGGGCCTGTCAAAGCCCAGTAGACAGCTCTGTGTGGTGAAAGGGCCAGTCAAAGCCCAGTAGACAGCTCTGTGTGGTGAAAGGGCCTGTCAAAGCCCAGTAGACAGCTCTGTGTGGTGAAAGGGCCTGTCAAAGCCCAGTAGACAGCTCTGTGTGGTGAAAGGGCCTGTCAAAGCCCAGTAGACAGCTCTGTGTGGTGAAAGGGCCTGTCAAAGCCCAGTAGACAGCTCTGTGTGGTGAAAGGGCCTGTCAAAGCCCAGTAGACCGTTCTGTGTGGTAAAAGTGCCTGTCAAAGCCCAGTAGACTGTTTTGTGTGGTAAAAGGGCCTGTCAAAGTCCAGTAGACAGCTCTGTGTGGTGAAAGGGCCTGTCAAAGCCCAGTAGACCGTTCTGTGTGGTGAAAGGGCCTGTCAAAGCCCAGTAGACAGCTCTGTGTGGTAAAAGGGCCTGTCAAAAACCAGTAGAAAACCACTGTGAGTTGAGAGGACCTTCCATATTGATTTTAATACATTCAAAAGGAACACCCTTCCTGTTTTACTTTGAGAGAATCGATTCAGCCATTCAGGCGTGTTTTATTGACGGTTTGCTACATTGATTGATGCTTGTTAAACTCTGTGCAATTCCAGAATCCAGAACTTAAGTTATTGGAAAATCACATTCAGGTTGAACATTGAAAGCTTTCTGAAACGTAAAGGCTTTCGGGATGTTGGAATCTATAGCCACAACAGATTGTTCACATAATTCTATTACTTTATGAATTTTTGAAGAGAAAAGGCAGACTGAAATGAAGTAGACTGGAGCTTTTCACTGATTGAACATTTCTTGTAATTCCAAACTGCTGTAAATTTACACATTTTAGTGATAATATTAATTTAGTGGTTTTCTTGCTTAAAATATTGTGCTAAAATATTGTTGTGCTAATTGCAGTACCTGTATACTGTACATCTAGTAATGATTGTAGATATGTGAGTTCATCACTATGCTAATTTGCTAAAACCGTTAATTCACTAAAACTGGTACCTGGTAAGTTCATTTACAGTAACTTGATGTGGCAGCAACATGATGAAAAATTTAGTATTCAAAGTCAGACTTATTTAGGCTTATCAAAACTGCACACAACTTTCATCAGAAATGTTGCTTAACAGAGTTATAATATAGAGTAAGTTGTAAGTAATAGGAAGTAGTAAGTTTTAGGATGAAAGCTAAGTGGGAAGTGAAGAGTCTTGATCACCACCCGGCGATTCGTACAAAAAAACAGAATAATGTTGCTGCAAGGCAGATGGAAAACCAAATCTCTTTCATGGAGAACAAGTGCATTTCTCAAACAGCAAGGCTAGAAAAGTCAATGAAAAATCTAAGGCGACAACTGGATGAAATGTCGTTGGAGAATGAACGAACTGGAGAAGAACGAGCTAGACAACGTATCACATCAAGTTATTTGATGCGTCAGTATTCTGTGACCCCTGATTCAAATACAATGCGGCGAAATTTTAATTCTTGTGAGTTCCTTGTGCCTCAAAGTAAGCATCAATGTGTTCATTTTCCTTGTACAGCCCCAAAATCCTACCATACCATTGGCTTCAGGATCGACCCAGACAACACTTCCTGGACACCATGGAAACAGTTGCGACGCAACCTCAGTGACACGGCTTTGGCTGCCATGGGGAAGTCTGCCATATTGAACACAGGCATTTCCCGATTAACAGCTCAGAGGAGATCAGAATTGTTAAAAACAGAAATAGAGTGCCGACGGAAGAGATCAGAAAAAGAAAAACCGCCATCTTGGCAAGTGAATTATGGGAAACCAACACCTTACAAAAGACTGAAATATCCTGTAAGGCTAGACCCAATAGATATGACATAGTGAAAGTGGAACTCTTAATCAGAAACATTTTGGGATTTATATGCCCAAAACAACAGACAGCTACTGTATATATGAATATAGAAACACTGTCCTTTAACTGTTCTGGCAAAGTTGGTTTTCTGGCTTCTGCTTCACATTGAAACCATAGCAACACAAGTACAAGAATTAGAGCTGAAGTCCCTGCCCCTCCAACCTAAACCAGAATACTGATTGGATGGATGTGAACATTAAATTTGGGAAAAAGTGTGTTCTCTTCACAAATCTGATCAATGTACCTGTTTGCTGGGTTAAATGTTATATCAACTGCCAGGGTCATTTTGAGATAGGGGGCACATACTCAGACCTTCGGCCAACTGTCTACTGGCTGAGCTCATGAAGCCCCTCTAAAGTAGGAATGTGGATGTAGTACAGGCTCAACACTTATCTGATCTCATCATATATAGGGTAATTCAGAAATAAGAAAAGAATTGTGGTGTTCTGTAAGATGAGATATCTGAAAGTTTTGAGTTAATTTATAAAACTGTAAAAAATATAAAATAAAGTTTTATTGAATAATACTTTGTTAAAATTTTGTGAATTGATAAATAATTAATATCCTTAGTTGTATGGAATTTTAATTAACAAAATAAGAGAAAATTTGCTATTTAGAAACTTTTATAAAACCATTTCAAACTCTTACTTCTGTTCAAACCAAGTGAAAAGTTTTAAGTGTAAGAGTTACTCCCCTTAGTACCTGTAATTTGTGCCATTTCTGTCACCGACAGCTAATAAATTGATTTGAATAGCAGATAGATAAGCAGGATATGCTTTAACACAAACCTGAATTCCTCAGTAGCAGTAGCAATATCAATTTTCAGTGATGGTTTTTAGCTTAGTTTGAAGGGCAAGTGAGCTGATGATGTGGCACAATGTAGTGCCCTGTCCAGTGTCAGCATTCTCCCATAAACAACTTCGTTTCAACCAAAAGGCCCATGGTCATAATATACAGCCCATAGCTTGCTTGGATGAATGACTAGCAAGTTTATTCAAATGATTTACATTGACCCATAAGGTCACACAGGTCAAAGGTGCTGAAATATTCACCTGGTAGACGACTCCTCAATTACTTAAATGCCCAAGTGTTGTGATATTTAGCCTGTATGGTGCTAGGATAAAGGGTTATGAAGTTTATTCACATGAACTGATAATGACCCACTTTCAAGGTCACAGGGGTCAAATGTAAAAAAAAAATCTTTACGCTTCCAGTATGTCTTTTCATGATAGTGTTCGTCGTGTTATTCCGGATGTTAGCTTTTGATGTTGCAATGATTGACGTAAATGAGAAAGTATTCCTTATATGCTACAGAACTGTTGAGCAATTCAGGATGATTGGGCCTGTTGTTACCAAGATGGGAAATGGATTTTTTAGGTTACCTAAGAAATGATATCATGGTGACCAATTGCGATTGTCTTTTATATGGCTTGGTGTGTCCATAAACTTTAAACATTTTCAATTTCTTTTTAAGAGCTCCAGAACTGAATTCAATGAAATTTTGCAGAGACCTTCCTTAGCACCAAAACAACGAACTATATGGTCTTTACCCCTCAGGGGCTGATGGACAGAACCAAAAGGGGTCAAATTGACCCAAATTTAAAAAATCTTCTTCTCAAGATCCAGACATGGTAGAATCCAATGCTCTTCATGGGTGGAAGTGTCTTAAGGTGCTTTACCAAAATTGTGAATTTCATGGCCTGAGGGTCTTGCATTTCTCTGTGGCGAAGAGGTAAAGTTTGCTATAGTTTATAGAGGATAACTAGATTTTTGAGCATTCTGTGTTTAATTTCTATTGGAAATATATCAAATTTGGTTAGAATTATGAGCAAAGGATGGTGGCTTCATGGTATGCCCATATTGATCTTAGGTGACAGCCAGGGGCTGATGGGAGGGGCCAAAAGGGGTTGAATTGATTTAAATTTGAAAATCTTTTTCTTAACACCCAGGTATGGTAGAATCAAATGCTCTGTATGAATTGAAGAATCTTAAGGTGCTTTAATTACCAAAATGGGTTTCACATCTCTTCCTGGGGAGGAGTTTAACTTTACTGTAATTTTCATAGGAAAATTGCACTTTTGAGCATAATGTTTATTTCCCACTGCAAATAACTTTGTAAGATTTATTAGTGTAAGATGGCTGTTTTGATGGTATGCATGTATTGACACTGGCTTACAATATTCAGTGTCACAATTTCTTTTTTCATGACACTTGAAAGCTACCCTTTAACCTTTGTATTCAATATTGCTTACATCAGGTGGTGTTGGGGCTGCTCAGCCTCTGGTTTTTCTTTCTGATGATAGTCATACCCTGATAAAACTTATGGAACCCTTTCATCAGGCACGTCAAAGTGTCAATCTGTGTCACCACTACTCATAAAGGACTGAGTGGATTTTAATTAAATTTGGTCAGGAGATTTTTGAGGAAGGTAACCATATTATGTTTGGTCTGACATACACTAATATGACGTACATTAATGATCTTCTGATACAAGCTACTGCTAGCTTTTGACTATACTTATTGTTTTTTGTACAACACATGTAAGATGTGTGGTTGAAAAGAATTAAGTCATGTCGGTATAAAACTTGGATTCTTCCATCCAAGGGGTCAGAGACCCAATAGAGAAAATAGAAGAAAACTTTGAAAATCCTTTTGTTATGTAGATAAAGCAATTATGACCCCTATGGGGTAAAGGGGCAGAACCTATAAATGGAGACCCTGTCCTCTCTTCCTTCTCATCAAAGCTTTGAAAGGAGAGAGCATCAATGAGGGAGTAGAGAAAAATATGTTTCTTTTTTAATGATTACAGGGCCAGATCAAGGCCAGTAGGGAAATAGAAGAAAAAATAAAATTCTTGTTTGGATGAAATATTATTGACCCCCATGGGACAAAAGGGCAGGGACTATGTAGGGACTACAGACAGGGAATCCATTTGTATGAACTGTTAATCTGCTGAAACCAAATGTGTGATACAGGCCCTTGGGTGTCTTGTTCAGGAAGTCGGTGCATAAATTAGACCTCTCAACCCACTAGAAAGATAATGTGAAATTTCTTTTTTTCCAAAAACACAAAAGTTCAACATGATTTACTTAAAATCAAATAATCACAATGAGATTAAAATCTTTTGATATTTGTTTTAGTATTGAGGCAATTGGAATGTAAATCTCCTATTTCACAAAATCGCTATCAAAATCCACCTGTATACAACTTTTCCCCTCTTAAAAATCAGCTTTTGGAATAATTGACGGAAATCCTCAACATTAAATGCTAAATCTGCTTGTTTTAATGTAACCATAAAGACAGAGTTGAAATGATTAGGACAGACCATATAGATCTTTTAGTCCCTTTTCAAAATTTGAAGGCTTTAATTTAGAAATTGAAATCAAAAGATGAAATTAATATTTTATGTTTGACGAGATGATTTTATATCTTGCATGTAATGCGTGGAGTTGCATTAGCAAAATCTAAAAATAGTAAATGTCTATAGGACATGAATGTCCCTACTCTTACACAAACCAGAACCTGATCAGGTGTAGAAGTTGAAGTTGTAATACTATGGGGTAAATATGAACCAAATGTGTGAGACATTCTCAAGATGTGACAAAACAGTAAGGGGCAGACGAGTGACAAAACAGTAAGGGGCAGACGTGACAAAACAGGAAGGAGCAGATGAGTGACAAAACAGGAAGGGGCAGACGAATGACAAAACAGGAAGGAGCAGGCAGACATGAGTTATAACACTGTATGCCTTCCATAAAAATGACAGGATTCAAGTTCACATATTTTCCATCTCTACTCCTTGAACAAGTGTCACTCTTGCAAAACTTTAGATGTGTCACACATGGCTGTGATGACCAATTCTGATAACTTGCTGTAAGTGTGTATATAGTGTTAAACTAAGCAGATAATTACAAATTTGTGGTGCCATAATTACATACCCATTTCTTAACCGTTTTTATTTTAGGTCAAAGTATAAAAATCAAGCGCAATTTAAACAGAAGTTTGTTTTCATGTGTAAAACGAAGTTATGGAATGACACATATATCTGCTTTCTTCATGTTACATTTTACAGTAAAATTTTACAAAATTCATCTTCAGTAAAATTCAAGACATAAAAATGCTAAATTAGGCAAAATTGCAACACGATCCTAGATACATATTTAATGTGTTGTTCATGGATAACAGTTATTCATCAGCCATGATGGCATCATTATCTTACCTGACAGTCTAGTACCAACCTCTGTATCCTGTATTCCCAGAAACTATTGACATAGCTCCTAGGAGTTAGTAGGATTAACTCTGTCATTATTTTCAAATTTTTAGACACTGGATTTTGAAATTCTGGCAATAATTAGTGTCTTATGGTTATCATGTCCACTATATTGTGATATTTCCAAGTTTTTCTATAATTACACTTTTTCATCAAAATTAAATGTGAAGTTTTAACGTGCTGACATCAATGTGATCACACCCTTATCATAGTCACCACTGGAAATATAAGCTAATAAGGTCTTGATTCGGTGACATTTTATGGCAGGCGAGACAAAAATTTCCAATTTGAAGACTATTTTCACAGGCTGCCAGAGATCTGAAAGCGGGAGACACACTGATTGTGGAGAAACCATTTGCTGCGGTCCTGCTTCCTGACCACTACGACTCTCACTGTCACCATTGCTTCGGACAGTTGGACCTGCTAGTCATTCCGTAAGCTTATTGTTCCTGTAGCCATTGGTAAAATATTCTGTTGCAGATTCGAAAATTTCGCCAAATCTCAATTAAGGCAGGAACTCTTAACAAGATAAAACAGAGTCCCAGTCACTCATTGACTGATTTAATTATGTGAGTCCATTAATGTAACAATTTCAAAAATTTGATTTGGATGAAAAAGGTTACCTCATAACCCATTGTCTCATTATCTTAGAGGTTAAATTTTCACAATCAGGTTATATTACTGTGAAGTAGTGAAAATATCATCCACCAGAAATAACTGGATATACAGTAATTTATAGTTACATATGTGTTTGAGAGCTGTACTCCAAATTTAAGTGAGATCACCTATTCCACAGAAGAACTTCTGAAGAGATGACAATGCTAGGGAAATGTTCTCTAGTTGATTGTTTGTTATCATTTTTATCAGGCTATCATCATCGCATGGTGTGTTATTCAAATTATCCTTCATTCATTGTTCGTGGTCTGTAATCAATTCTTGTTATCACTGTTTCATGAGAAGGGTCTTCCTCAAATATTATATGATGTTGTAATGAAATGTAATCCCACAGATGGAACAGCCATTTTGACAACGAACTGTCACCATTTTATTGCTGTCATTACAACGGTCATATGCTGGATATCATTTGTTGTATCATAAATCACACATCTTGTAAGTTTATGCAGTGGTATTGTTGTACAGATGTAAATATTAGAGCATGTTAAGGTATTTCTGTATGTTTTGCAGGTGTGTTCGGTGTAGCCAGGTGCGTTACTGCAGCAAAGAATGTCAGAATTCTTCATGGACGTCGTACCACCAGTTCGAGTGTTTTTACATGGATCTACTTCATTCTGTAAGCTTGTTAGAATATTTGTATCACCATTCTCAGTCCTGAAGGGTTATACTCAGTAAAGGAAAATATTTCTTACGTTCCCACAGTGTTATAGGGGGATATATATTAAACCTTGTCCTGTTCTAATTGAACTGTCTGTCTTGTGTCCATTTTCCATTGTCTGTAGTCTGTCTGTTTGTCCTTAAGCAATTATTGTTATTGTTATCTCTGTTTCTTGAGAAGAATTTGATCAAACATTCTCAAATTTCATATGTATGTCCCTCTCAGTCCATAGATGTCCAATTTGGGATTGATTGGAAGAAAGAAATGGAAGACAGGTGGCCATCTTGGATTTTGACAGCCATAGTTTGTTTTCACTGTTTCTGGAGAAGAGTTTGATGGATCATTCTCAAATTTAATTTATGATTTCCTCTTTGTCCCTTGACCTGCATTGTTTGATTTTGGAAGTGATTGTAAGTGGTAATCTTCAATTTTGGAAGTTAATGTTTGTTTTTGCTAATTAGGAAATGCAGGTGCCCTATAGTAACCATATTGTCTGTCCATCTCTGTCATCCTTCTGTCCATCGTTCATCCTTAAAGAATGTTTCTATTCTTGAGAAATATGGAATGGACCTTCCTCAAAGTTTCTGAAGGTTGCACTTCATCCCTAGTGTTGCCTATTTAATTTTAAGACTGCTCTGATAGGACACTGGATTGAGGAGTTGGGGGTTTAACTGTTGGAGGAAAGCTGGAGTGTATTAGAAAAAACCTGCGTGGTTTGGCAGCAACTGTACATTTTCATGTGAAATTAGGAAATCGAAAGTCACTTGAGAAAATAAGTGTGTGTTGCCTCTGACCGTCCATATTATCAGGGTGATATGATCCATCCAATACTGACATGTTTGTCAAAACAAAAAAATATTCAAAAATTAGAAAATATCAGACTTGTTTTACTTGTGATGGTGCTGGGTTTAATGCCCCATGAACAGCCAGATACATTTTCTAGCACGGTCGCCTTTCTTTGAGGTAACTGGTGACAACAGCATATGAGAGGCCAGTTGAATGCAATTGAGAGCATTATGGCTAAAGTGTCTTACCCAAGGATACATCTACAACAGCTCGAATTGGTCCATTAATGTTTCTGAGCTTTCTTTTAACCAATAGATATGTTATAATGATAAGCAGAAAGATCAATCTCAGAATTTTTCTGTTATACCTATATGAATACTGTTCCTGGACTTATATTTAAATTTCCTTACAGGTATATTGTGACACTGACTTATCATGTGTTATTCTATTTCATTGCCAGGTTGGGATAGCACACCTTAGTATTAGAATTATACTGGTGGCAGGACTGGAATTTCTTGTAGGTAAGTACCAAACATGTACATAATATAATACGCTTATTTCTTACATTACATAATCCCAACTTTTGACATTACATGATTCTTAAGGTCATTTCAAAGTGGTAATTAATTAGGCAAGAAAAATCTCCAGTTTATTTCAGTGTATATAATACAAATTTGATATGGGTTTGTAGCATACCGGCATGAACAGCTACCATATTTGTTCAGATCAATGATCTGGATGTACTTTAAATTCACAGAGAATAATGGTTGTAAAATCTTTAAGCAAATTCTTAATGAACAAGAAACCCTAAGATTTGATATTTTACCTGTAACTTATATACTGTGAAGAAGGGGTATGAAATTTTGATAAACACGAAAGTTATTAGAGTACAGATTTCCAAAAATGTGGACACTTTTTAATCTAAAGAGCAGGTGAGCAATACAGGCCCATTAGGTCTCACTCTCTCACTCTCTCTCTTTATTTTTTCATCAAGTAATGTCTTTAAACAGATGTCATTATGATGTCACAGTAAATGTTATTTTGTATAAACAGAATTCAAGAGGAAGTTGCAGAGTCTTGAAAACAATACTGTAAGGATTAAAGGTGTGAGTGAAGATGGTACCTATAGACATGGCTACCTCACTGTGTATGATCTAATGCCTCACAGCAAACATCTTGTCATAGAAGACCTGTTTCAGTACTCACTGGTAAGGGAATTTTACATTCTAGCTCTGTAGTATAAATAAAATATTTGCCAAAATATTTGGTGTAGTATGCACATTAAGTGTTAAAAAAAAGTCTCTGTCTATCAGTTAATGAAGCATGCTTCTCCATCTATCACACTGGAGACCCGGGTTCAATTCCTGTCGAGGCACATCTCCGGAATATTTTTTTCCTCTGATGTTTTATTGTTGCCCAACAAAATTGTGGTAATTGAGTCTTCAATTGAGAACCAGGAAAAATCAAGAAAAATCGAGGGAATAGTGTAAAAGGAACAGGTTGGTGTGGCTTGTACATTGTGTTAAATAGGGTTTCTTCCATTCAACTGACGGCTCATGCTTAACTGGCTCAGTCGTTAGATGCATGGGTTATTATGCTGGAGACCTGGGTTTGATTCCTGTCTGGGTTGTTGGCAGGAATGTGTTTTCACTGTTTTTACAGAAAAGAAGATTCCAGTACAGGAAAGAATGATTATGACATGCAGGGCACTTCTGACTGGATATTTCATGCCTTGTACAATTATATGTCACATAAAAACTACCTGTTGAATAGTAACATGGATTATTTGCATTGTGATCTTTAGTTTTGCTAAATTTCTGTTTCCTCAGATTGAAGGAAATCATTTCTCTTATATAGATTTTTACTTCAGTTACCATTCCTACCTCCATGTATGTAAATTGCCTGCACTTTCAACACGTATTGCCCAATATAAAAGTTCAAAGCAAATGTGCATTCTGTATGTTCTTCATAATCTTCACGAGCAGAAAAAAACCTTTTAGCTCTAATGGCACCTCTTGGGTGTTTACAAGCTTTATCCCTTTGTGAACCTGATGGTCTTCTGTCTTAGTTTATTCCAGGGTACTTGTGGTACCTAAAGGTTTTGTCATCACTATCTGAAAATATTGAATAAAATTGCAAAAAAATAGATACGATAGAAATAAAAAATTGATCAAAACAAGAAATATCATTTAAAAAAAAGGTTAATGGCAGAGTTTTAATATTGTTGGTAATATACATAGATAGTTGTGTGTCTGTTGATTTGGAAACATCAAAGTCATCAACCAATAACGTTACTGTGTCTGATGTTTGAAATTACAGATCTATACTGAATGTTCAATTATATATAGCACTGGGTTAACTATGCACGTTGGAACAGTTCTAATGCATTGTGTATTATACTGTCATTTAACTCTTGTGAAAGTATTGTACTAATTCTGTAAACCTGAATTTTATTTTAGATAGAAATACTTATGATTACTGTAGGGATGGTTACATGAATATCTGTATCTACATGGCTCTTTAACATTTCAAGACAACAATGGAGTCTTCAGGCACATAATCTGCTATCCCCAATCTGTATTACTAAAAACTAATTTACATTTTGTATATAGAGAATTATTAACCAATGGGAGACTTGATAAGCATTCTGCCTGCACTGTATGAGTCAAATGATGTGGGGATAATCCCAGATACGCAGAGGGAATCCCAAAACAATCTTAAGCAACACTGCCGAAAAAATCGTTGTAGTTTTATAAGTTCTTGTTTGGTGAAAAGTTGCAACCATCAAAAAATAAGACACTTTTGAACTTTCCAGACAGCCTGTCTGCTGTTAAATATCCTTCAAGTGTCTGATTGGTTCAACTCGCATACTAAGATGTCTTCCGATCCCTGTAACAACACTTCTTCTGGAGAATGCAGCGACAAGTCAGACAAGAAGCACATGTCAGGAGATGTTGGCGATGTTTCTGAACAAGAACAATATGTTGGTGGTTTGCTGCTGCGTCACATTCAACAACTGGTGTGTAACGGCCATGCCATTACAGAGTTACAAGTTACCCAGGCAACCGACCTGTCATTGGTGGAGACTAAAAGTCAGGTCCGGGTCGCCACGGCAATATACCCTACCGCCAGTTTAATGAACCATTCCTGTGATCCCTCAATCATAGCCAGGTAAATACAGCTCTGCAGATTTTTGTCCCTGCCATTTCTTTTTTAATTTAATTTTTTTTTTCTTTGGTGTGTGATTGAAAGCTCCCCCTTGGTTGTCAATAGGCGTTCCTGTTTGATTTTTGGAACTGATTGGGATTAAGAGAAATGAAGTGATAGAAAAACTAACGAAGATCAAACAATGGTTCAGTGCTAAAATCCTGCCATGATCTCTTATTGATGATTGGGAGAAAGTCTGCAAAATCTTAAGTAATGACAATTGATATTATTAATTGAAAATTACATTTTAAGAATGTAAATTGAAACTGAAATCATGGGTGGGAGGTGGGGTACATCATATAATGTATGACTCGCTTCAGTTAACACCTGTATATAGATGATATTTAATGTTTATTCTGTTGTAAAATGCATCTGTCCAGCAATATAACATGCAGTTTTTATCTATATATATTTTCCACTATTAGACTATCATTAGATAACGGTGGTCTGAGTTCAGGTTCATGTGAACTTTATACAGAGTATTAGTATAATATGAGAGTTCTACATCATTCAAAATATCATACCTAGAATAGAAGTAATGGTAGAGATATCTTGAGGGGAGAGGGGGCGGGGAAGGAATACATAATGTATGACTGCCTACGACAATAGATAGATCAGATTCTATTTTTAAAATGCATTTTTTTATTTATAATACATTGCTTTTCATCTCCATTTTTATTCAATAAAAAATTTGACTTACATTTGGTCTTATTCAGTAAAATGTTTGACTGGTGCCTGATCTTATTTAGTAAAATGTTTGACTGGTGCCTGATCTTATTCAGTAAAATGTTTGACTGGTGCCTGGTATTATTTAGTAAAAAGTTTGACTAGTGCCTGGTATTATTTAGTAAAATGTTTTACTAGTGATATATAATAAAAGAGTTCTATGAATATTCATCTCTTGGTATTTTACTTAGAAGACAAAGTATCCTTTCTTGTTATCAATACATGTACTCTACATTTGTAGTTTTGATCGTGACTCCTTGGTGGTGAGGGCTGTCCGTGATGTGAAGGACGGTATGGAGATTTACAATTGTTACGGTAAGGAGAATTTCAAAGGTATTGCATCACTTTTCTGTTTTATTGTGAAATGATACTATTTAGACCACCTCGGTGACTAGACAAAAGTGGTTTTAAATCATAGGTTCTTTTATTAATAACCAATTAGACAAAAAAATTCTTACTGGTATTGTGTATATGTTACATGTACTGATTTCAGTATGAGTCGTACCAAAAAAATGTTTAAAAAAATGTCTGTCATTTTCAGTCAAGGCTATTCATGTTGTCCTTAATCTGTGCAAGGTCTATGGCCTGGATTAATGTTTGATGACATATGAAAAAAGTTTATTTTTTTCACTAAATGGTGGCAGTAAAAAAAAGATGTATTTTCACAAAATTTGTGAGACTATGATTTTCTCTTGCTTGTTTAACCTCAAAAAAAATCTATTTTTCATGATTTCAAGCCTCCATGAAAATAGAGAAAAATAGACTTCCTCGAAAATAACAATATTTAGGTATAGTGGCAATCAACACTCAACAACTAACCAACCTATAGGGCTAATTCATATTTTATTTCTGGTATAAATTTGCAGTTGACAGAATGATAACCTGTTAATTTAAACTCTCTAATTACAAAGTATAGCTTGGTTGTCATTCTATGAAGAGAAGATTTCCAATATTTTTATGTATTTTATAATGTGATATTATTCCATTTCAAATGAATACAAACTTTCACAGACTACACTGTGACATCACAGTAGAGACTATAGATATAGAGCCAAGAGTGGCATAGAAAAGTATGTTTTCTGCAAAATTGCCAAAATATTTGATGATATCAAAAAGATCCGATGTTGGTTTCTATTTCATTTATAATTGATGAATTTTTTGTTCTAGCCCACCAAAGACTTGATACAATGAAAAATTCTGAAGACAGCACTTCATAAATCATTCACGAATTGGGAACTCCAATGATATCCTACATGTAACACGAGAGACTTAGAAGTGTAAAATAGTGACAAATCAGATTTCTTTGTTTCCTTCCTCAGGTCCCCACCATAAACGGATGTCTGGTCCTGACCGACGACAAATCCTGAAGGATCAGTACTTCTTTGATTGTCAGTGTAGTGCCTGCTTGATGGATGATGGTCAGAATGTAATGTATATGGTGAGTTTGTCTGTCAGTGTAGTGCCCGCTTGATGGATGATGATCAGAATTGTAATATATGGTGAGTTTGTCTGTCAATGAAACTTCTGTCTGTTGGATCTCTCTTGGACCTCCAGTTTATATAGAAACAATAAAGACGATACAATGATTGGCATCATGATCCCTTGGGGATCTCTGGTATATATTGAACCAATGAAGAACATCCATGATTGGCACCAAGATCTCTCTTGGATCTCTTATATACAGAACCATTCACTTTTTGAGTGTTTGATGCAAGTTTAAGTACAAATTAAAAATTCCCTGCTGAAATTTGATGTGCTGCCTGTGTGATTTCACAATTGTTTCCACTGCCACTTCTGCTGTTTCAGTACTTAATCTTTATATTTAGATGATTGTTAAAGCTGTTGGGCCTCTAGCTCATTTTCTCATCTTTATGTTTCATTAAAAAGGTGTTCAAGTGTCCAAAGTGTGAGAATGCCTTGATTGAGGAACAAACAAATGTTGTGTGCTCAGAATGTGGCTACCATGGCAACACTTTATCATATAAGGAAAAGACTGGAATAGCTAAAGACCTGTTTCTTCAAGCTGTTCAGAGATTGGAAGCAAACAACATCAAGGGTAGGCTTTAAGACACTCATAATATAACAGGTAGGCTTACAGAGATTCATAATATCACAGGTAAGTTTAAAGACACTCATAATATCACAGATAAGTTTTAAGACACTCATAATATCACAGGTAAGTTTAAAGACACTTATAGTATGACAGGTATGTTTAAAGACACTTATAGTACCACAGGTAAGTTTAAAGACACTCATAATATCACATGTACGTTCAAAGACACTCACAACATCACAGGTACATTTATAGACACTCATAATATCACAGGTAAGTTTATAGACACTCATAATATCACAGTTAAGTTTATAGACACTCACAACATCACAGGTAGGTTTATAGACACTCATGTTGTCACAGGTACGTTTATAGACAATCACAATATCACAGGTACGTTTATAGAAACTCACAACATGACAGGTAGGTTTATAGACACTCACAACATCTGAGGTAAGTTTATAGACATTCATAATATCACAGGTAAGTATATATTCATAGATTTATTAAAAAAAGGGGGATATCTTACTCACAGTCTTGTTTTTACCAGGAGCTATTGATACAGCCCAGAGATGCCACAAGATAAGGAATGGAATCCTCCATCGAAACCATCGTGAACTAACTGAGACTAAGGACTTTCTGGCTAGGTGTTACGCTGTAACAGGTAAGGATGCCACCCACAGTCAGTTATGTCCAGGTGTCTTTATAGACATACCCAATTTTTTTCGCTGTCAGACTTTTTACAAAAAACCAAGTGACTGATAACTACTTTAACCTTGTGTTTTATGATAAATGTGCTTTATAGCCCACCATCGTCAGATGTTGGGCTGTTCAAATTGCTCTATGTCCATAGTCCGTCCGTCCATAAACAATTTTTGTTATTGCTATTTCTTGAGAAGTATTTTATAGATCTTTCTAAAATTACATTCGTAGCTTCTCCTTGGTCCCTAGATGAGCTCATTTGATTTTGGGACTGATCAGAAAAACAAAATGGCTGACAGGCAGCCGGCTGTCTTGGATTTTTTCAATGAAGTTTGTTATCGCTATTTCTTGAAAAGTCCTTTATGGATCTGTTTCAAATTTCATGTGTAGGCTGCTCTTTGTCCCTAGGTGTGCCTATTAAATTTTAGGACTGATCAGAAAAGGAAAATGGGTGACAGAGCTCTTGGATTTTCACTTTGCAAGTTTGTTATTACCGTTTCTTGAGAAGAATTGAATGGATCACTATCAAATTTCATATATATGTTCTCTTTGGTCTCTAATTGTGCCTGTTTGATTTTGAAACACATCAGAAAAAGAAAGTGGCTTACAGATGGTCATCTTGGATTTTGACTTTGAAAGTTTGTTTATTTCTTGAGAAATACTACATAGATCTTTTTCAATTTCATGTATAGGTTCCTCTTGGCCTGTTTGATTTTGGGATTGATCCAAAAAATAAAGTGGGATCTCTTGTTTTTTTTTTCGGTTTTTTTGTGGTTCAAATTTTTGCAGTTTCATCCAGTAAGAAAGATGTGTTTTTTATTCAATAAAGTTATAAAACTGATTATTCTTTTTCCAATTAACGTAATTATATAAGGTACTTTTTTGTGCAATTTTATTCTGTCCTCAGAAAGAGGGAAAATTTAACCTCTCCTGAATAACAGTTTTTACAGTATTTTACCAAAACCTTGAAGTAAATTTTTTTTTACAGAAGTCGTAGTCATGAAGATAATGTCAACCAAACTATTACTTTCATAGATACTTTGATGTCTGATGTATTGTTTGTTATGGTCAATACAATAATAAGGACTAGTTAAAAAATTAGGTTTCTGTAAAAAAAAAAAAGTTTTTGTCCGGATTAATTTTTGTTTTGGACATTGATTTTGTTGATAAATAAAGCTCAAGTATGTGTACCAACCCACAATATGAATACAACTCCCACAAAAAAGAATGATATCACAGAAATTTAATTAAGAAATTGTTCATATCCATTTGCAGGTGACTTTGAAAAGTCCTGTCGTTATTTGAAGGAAAGTGTGAGCAGCATAAAAACTGTGTACGGGGCATTAAGTATCGAATATGCAAATGAGCTGCAGAAGTATGCTGAGGTGCTGGTCAGTGCTGGACACATGGAGACAGCTTTAGCAATCACTAATGAAGCGTTACCTGTATTCAAAGTGCATTATGGGACATCTCACACAAGTGTTGCAGAACTTGACGAACTAAGGTTTCATTTACAGAAAAGTCTCATTATATCATAATAAACATTTTTGTCGAAGTTACTCGGTTTACGTTATCAATTGTTAAATTTTACAGGCTTTTTGAAAAGTGCAAATTAGCATTTTTTCGGTTTTGAAAATTTGATGTCTTTTGTCCAAGAAGATAGGGAAAGCTCTTAATTCACCTACCTGAAGGGCAAGTCAGCTTATTCCATGGTGCTGTGTTTGTCGTTTATCTATTGTTGTCTGTTTTCTATGTGATGTTAAATGATTGCTTTTAATAAGTCTGCCTGAATAACCATGAGGCAAAGCAGCATGATATTTGGCTGGTGGGATGTTTCTAGATCAGTGGTCAATTGTAGACAGTTCTTTAAGAGCTTTTCATGCCTGTGATATTTTATTGGGAAGGGGTGCATTCAGTGTATCTACATTCAGTGTATCTACATTCAGTGAACTGTATGGAACTGTTAAGTCCAGGTTTCAAATTTCTTATTCAAAGTTACAAAGTACAGCAATGCAAACGCAGTAATACAATTGTAACAAAATAAGGGTCATTATGTAATGTTTTAATGTTGGTCAATATTTTAATTATAATGTTGGATAAAACATATATAATAGTGGTGTCGAATTATTAACTGATGTGTACAGACAAATGTCTTATCATTATTAGAACTCTTTAGATCAGCCCCAAGTTCAGAATTAGTATAGCAAAAGTTGTCCTGTGCATGGTGGATTGTGGCAGCTTAAATAAGTCATTTACCTTCTACAGGTGGGACATCAATACATCTGATTTAATTAATTGATTTTGAAAATCTTGCCACATTTGGTAATTACTATATATTGTGTTTTCTTCCTCTGGGTATAATGTCCTCATGCCTACTTATGTATAAAGCAACCTTCAAGAAACCATCCATGGATAAAAGATAGGTAACAGAGAGGAGACTTTGATTTATAAAAACTAAGACAAGAAATACTGATGTGTAAGTAGAATATGTTTCAAACAAAATTTGATGAATCCAGGGCAAAATAAGAACAAAAGAAAGATTTACAAATGATGATCTTCTCAAAGTTTATTAACATGCATCAAACCAGTAGACTTGATTGTAAAGTTGATATTTAATTAAGATTTAAAGGGACACAATGTTTCAGTAAATTTTAAAGTTTTGATTTTTTTTATTCAGTGAATTTAACTAAGGTTTATGTAATTGTTAATAGAAGAATCAGTTAATAATTGATTCTGTGATAAGGGAACATATATCGATGTAAACTTTGATGAGAGATTGCCTATGAATGTAAACTGAAACACCACATTCATATATGTAATAGACTTTTTGGGTGTAGCCAAATATACCCTAAGAATATAGGAGTTACCTCCCTTCTTCCATGAATATCCCGTTAATTTTACCTCTCCATCCCATTTGAATCCAGGAATGAATTTTATCTACAATTTTCGATTTTCCCCCCCAATCATCGATTTAAGGCAGTATCAACATATCTATATCTTGTGGAATTTAATTCAGTATTTAAGTATTGTATGAAGATGAAATATGATCATAAGCAAGGTTTAACCTCTGGTAGGTCTGTTTTTTTGTTGACTTTGGCAAGTTAATAGTGAAATGGGAAGCTAACCACTAGGGAGCCGGGCTATTGCGAATAAACTCGTAGATTTTCACGTTGTTTTAATATTGTCTACAGTGCTAAAATGTCACAGTTGAATTTTATTTATTATGTATACCATAGGGGATAAGGCATGGTAATTATTCTAGCTAGATCTATCGAGTTTCGTTTTTAGTCCCAGAGAAGTGTAAAATGCTACAACAATTTTCATTTGAAAAAGACATAACTGCTTACGACATTTTCGCTAATTGCAAAACTTGGTACCCTGACGCGGTCACATTACACTAACGAGGAACTTACCTGTCTATACAAACACATCTCGTAAACCTAAATGTCAAGGAGGCTTCAGTTTGTGTTGGATTCTGGATAGAACCCGTAATACTCCTCTCTGGAAATCGACTCTAATCACTACATTCATATGTCATATGTTGCCAATCAAGGTATTAGGAGAGAATTAAAAAAATGGTCTACTTTTACGATTCATCCAGATGATAAAGCAGACAGAAATCTTATATGCTACATACAGGGAGACTAAACATTTTAACATCCCCGCGTTTGTTTATAACTACATGTTCGTTTTGTATACAGATGTTATTTTTGCCCCCGGATCGAAAGATATTGTTTTTGTGCTGTCTGTTTGTCTGTCTGTTTAATTTGTTTCGCCTCTTGTCAATTTTGAAGCTTAGCTATTACACCGTAATAGGTAGGGCTTTCATATTTGGTGTGTGTGTTCCTTGCGACAAGACGTTTCCGGTGGTACCAATTTTTTTCACCGTGTGATCTTGACCGTGACCTTTGACCTACATTTGAAATATTTTGATATTGGTCATATATTGCATTTGCACATTTCAGTATTGAACTGCTTTCAGTTGGCATTCATGAGTGCTATGAATGTCAACTGGGAAAGTGCAAAGTCAGTGAAGCGTGTTAGCGCTTCATTTTGTATTTGCCTTTACGCAGTTTATCATTGTTCCTACAAATACCGACTAAACCCATGTTAAGCTTATATTTTTTTTCATTATTATTATTTTCTTTAATAGTTATAAAATGGAGATTTATTTAGGTCAGAAACAACAGGCTTGTTTTAAGGATGGACTTATTTTTTTGAGTTATAAGTAAAATGTTTTTGTTACATTTTGTAAGTTGTGTTGAATTAACGTTCCTATTTCGTGGTTTTAATCGTCGTAATGTACTTAAACTGTAGTGATGAAAATAATGAAGTCCAACCTCTGATCTTCATGTTTATTGCTGATTGTCTATATATATTTACAAAGAACATTTAAACGGTTTAGGCAAAAGACAGGGAGCAGGCGTCCTGCCAACAGAGAACTACCCTCTCTCCTGTCTAGCCTCCGCTCTTCTCATTCTCTTCTCTCCTCATTTGGCAGACCAAGGATTGAGTTATACAGGAGTTATAGACATAGACTTAAACACGAGACCGGCCATAGATTAGGTTGTTTTCCACAAGATTAGTATACACTAACATTCATGCGAACTGTCTAGATAGAGCCCAGGTAATTACTTATATATAATCAGGGAATGAATTAATAACATTGACCAAGTGTAGTATATTAAGTAACAACATTATGTCTCTGGCCACTGGTCAATACATAATTCACCACTGGTCGATAGATGCCATTAACTAAATGAAGCTAGTCTCATTCCGGCAGATAAGTAATGATTAAAAATCTGACAATGTCTAACTAAACACAATTTTGAATAATTTGATCAAATAACATATTAACTTTCAGTAGTTCAGGTGTCCATGTTTAGTTTTATCATCAAGTGTTAAACAGAAGAATTGAAAGTTTGTTATAGTGGTCATTCCAATCTAGATTTGTCTTTTTCTTTCAATCACCTTGAATTTTCTTCAGTCGCCTCTTAGGATTCAAACTTTAGACACATAGCATCTCTGCCGAGTCCTAGAAGGACGAAACAAGTGTATGACGCAGTTTGATTCATTGTTTGACTCTACTGTATCTAACTCTGATTTTTTTTTATCTAAAAGTGCTTCTCACCTGTGTGTCTTTTGTACTGTCTTATATACATGGCGGAGCCTATAATTAATTGTTATAATTTTTTCGAATCTTAACAATTTCAAAGCCGACACTGACACACTTGAGCAATCATTTAGTTGAATAATTGCATTTCTCCTTGTTTTCAATTTTCCGGATGTTGACACCGTTATAAATATCTCCTGTGGCACTTCGGTCCATAATTGCAATTAAAAGGAAGTTTGTTAATTCGTTTCCTGTTCTGATACTGATTTGGTTCAGACGTGTGTACTTCTAACACTGATTTCCTCAAAGTCACAGAAAACAAATCAGCGCTTCCTCAGATACCGTATAACTTCTCCAATTTGTACATAATATATGTGCGAATTGACGGAAAATAAAAACGTCCGAGGATAAAACTGAATTGTGACGTTAAGGTGCTGTTAGGATTTCTAGGATTACCGCTTTCCTCAACAACACATTATGACGACATTAAATTTTAGACCAGAGTTAAGTAGGATTATCCTGGAGGAATCTCCTCAGATGCTTCCTTGTATCGTATGGAATAGGATTCAATAGGGACTAATTCTTAAGTTCTCGAATCTCCATTTATCACGTGACATAGCCACTCCCAGCCCTGCAGTTGAGCACCTGGAATTTGACACTTTTCCAGTCGTAGAACAGAGCAGGCATATTCGTACCCAGATTCTGCAGCTAATTAAGTATGCCTACACATACTGATTACAATTACATTCTTAACGGCCCGTCAACACAAAAGGTCATTAGGGTCATCAAACTGTAAACCACTCAGCGATCCAAAAAGAAATAATATTAAACAAACCAAAAGGTAAAAGACAAATGTTAAAAATCTTAAATGGGTATGTTAACACAAAAGATTGAAATGGTACGTCATAGTCTATTATATAGACCAATATCTTTTAGGTAATGTAGAATTTTACAAATCTCAACAGTTTCATAAAGGGATTTTAGACATGTACCTCGATCGAAATAGCTTAGGTTAGATGAAAAGTGTATATGCTGATGATACGGCATTGAAGAACAGTGTCTTCTCCCTGGAATATCACCATCCGAATACAGTACAGTGACGCCCTACACGGCCAGATTATTACACTGAAAACGGGACAATTAGCCGTAATAAGAAACTCCTTTCAATTGAACATAAAGCAATGAATAGGTAGCACCAACCATATAGACATTTTGTTCAGGAAACGGAGTTTATGACCTTCCTTCAATCGCTCGGCATCTTTAATGGCAAATGGAATCACCACTTAATATCCTTGTTTTGGAGCATTTTTAATGCTGTATATCATTTCAAATCATTTGTCCATAACATGTTATATGTTATGGACAATGACACTTTGATGTTCACTTAAATATCGTACCTCAATTTTCGTAATTGAAAAAGGGCAC